CCAGTGGGTGTGACGTAGAGTGAGAAAGAGTGATAGATGAATAGACATCGGACTGACTGGCTGACAGCTGAATCATTGATCCAATGTTTCGAATCGTGATATACCAGCGTAGCGAGTCGAGCCGCGTGCTCACTGTGCGCTTTAAGCACAGATACACACCGATTCAGCATATCGTTGACCGTGACTCTATTTCGTACTCAAGGCCAACCTGCTCAAACTCCCGGGTACCCTTGTATATGGACCTACCGTATTTAGCGCCATGATCATTTTACAGTCAGCCACACGTCTTGTCCATCATCTTACACGCTCCAATGCAGTATAGGGTCGAATATCTCTATCAAGATCATGGCTCGAAATTTCGACAAGGATCTGAGCAAATATGTAGTCAATGGACACTACCTTCTCTCCAGTATCTGCATGTCGGGTCGGAAATGCCTGCCCTTGTTTTTGCCGATGAGGAGGATGATCAACTGGTTTGAGCTACAGGCTGGATGGTTACTAGTAGTTGTGCTCACGTCTGAGCCTTCTGCTTTAGGGTCAGTTGGTTATATACAAAGTCCTTCGGCCGCGTTCTACTAGTCAAATGGAACGGTTCTACTCAATACTTTCCCCTTTTGCGTGACAACTGTGACAGTAAATAAAGTTATAATGCTATGGCAGTCTGCCAGAGTAGCGGCCAGACTTGACTGCCGGATTGCTGCCAGAGGTAGGTGGAAATACATAAAGAGGCGTAAGAGGTCTTCGCAGGAGCTGCATAGAAAACCGCTGGATCAAGCGCCAAGGGATTTCTCATGCTTTGCCTAGCCCCCAAATTCACTAATGCGGCCATGCGCCCAAAGTTCTTTCGTGACGCTATTAAGAAAGGCAGCGTCTAGGACGTATGCGCATTTAATAACCTTTTTATTTCAACCAAATAACTTGGACGGGCGGCTAGAAACAACATTAGGTCTTTTGCGCTAGCGTCGGATCTAATAACCATTCTAAGTTTATATAGGGACCTAAAGAGCATGCCGAAGTATTAGCATATAGATATATAGCATAGTAATACAATAGGCCTTATTACTTTTCTTATAGTAGCCCTTATTATAAAGCCTACTAAAGGCGCGCTAATTACTAGTTAGCATTATATAAGGTAGCTATAAGTTAATACATAGGTATATATACTCTCTACTTTATTATTATATCCCCTAATAACTAATTCTACTAGGCTTTAATACGCTAGTTTTTCTTACTAGTACTAAAGAAAAACACTGCTTAATTTATATACCGCTATAAACCTTTTAAGCCATTAAGAAGTGCGTGTTAGCTATAATTATTATCTTATTACCTCTATTAGACCGGGAAAAATAAGAAAAAACTCCGATCACTCTATTTACCTTAATATACTAATAGAAAACACTTTATATAGTTAGTAAGATAGATTACCGCCTAGTATAAAGCTTTATAGATACCTTATACTAGTATTAGCTAAAGGGCCCATAGATATCTAAAGAATATACCGTGTATAGGCGTTAATTACTACATAGTATTAGAAACTAAAGTTCTTAAGCTTATAGTATGCATTAATAGACTAGACATAGTTCTTTTCCCTTATATAATACTCTTTATAATGCCTCTAGAGGTCGTTATAGCGTACTTAAACTCCTATAGGATTAATCTCCTTAATAAGCTTAAACATGCGTCACAAGATAACATTCGTCGCTAGAGCGCTAGAGTGATTTTGGTCGCTAGAGCGTCGCTAAAGGGCGCTGAGACGCTAGAGCGTCGCTATAGATGACCTATAGTGTTGACAGGACGCTGAAGCATGCTTAAACACCTTACGTTTGTCAACATTGACCAAGGGGCGCTAGCAAACGCCATTGTATACCACTATCGCAGAAAGGCGACCAATTGCTATCTAACATTGATATTCCAATACCACCATAACATCATCACTTGCGCCTGCCAGGATTCCTGCCAGGAGTCCTGCCAGGAGTCCTGCCAGGAATAACCACGCGTTGATCAGCATGACCAAGTGCGACCGGAAAGAGGACCTCAACCGTGATTTTCGCAGGAATCCTGACAGGAATCCTGGCAGGATCCCTGCCAGCTTTTCCTAACCTGACCGATATTCTTCTCAGCTCCAAGTCTCTTACTCCAAGGGTGACCGAAGATGCGGTTGGCAATCCTGCCAGGTTTCCTGTTAGGTTCCACTACCCTACCTCTCACCTAACCTCGTGGTATACCTGCCTACCACTCCTTTGCGACCACCTTCCACCTCTTTCCACCTTCTCCTCTCTTTCCACCTTTTCACCTCTATGTAGAGCCCACGTCCTCAAGACTCGCCTGGCGCCCACGACGATCACGAGTCCGTCGACGACCTCAACCCTGCCTTGTTGGAGGCCTGGCGCTCCGGCCGCTTCACTGTCGAGCAGTGCTTCTACCTAAAGCACATCGTCGAGGAGATGCAGAGCCGCAACGTCCCCATGTATGACATGGGCCATGGTGGTGAGCTTCTCTTCCGCTTCGCTGTCGAAGAGGCTGCCCGTTCTTTCCCCAGCGCTGCTCGCGTCTCCAGCCCTGTCGCTCCTCCTCCCCGCCTCTTCAGCTATGTCGACTACCTTCGCGAGCATGGCTCGGCTCAAGTCATTCGCCGCTACCTCATGACCAATCACATGGAAAGCATCCCCGGCCTCGCTCGCCCCACCACTCAGCGCGGTCGTATGATGCCACTCTGGTTCTTTTCTTCTGTTGTTTCTCTCTGATGACTTCACTCACCTCCACCCCTCCGGCGCTTCTGCGCTCTTGCCGGCTCTGTCACCTCTACAGTCTTTTCCTGCCGTCGCCTTGTCGCTTCGTCCCTTGCTGCCTTTCTCTTCTCCTTTGCCGCCTGTCTAATTGCAACATCCCGCTGACCAGCCGTCCTTAGATTCCTCTCCCTTGCGTCGCTCGCGGCCCTCATAACCTGCGTCTCCCATTCGTCGTCATAGATGAAGTTGTATGTCATCCAATCCGCCGTGTTATTGATGTACATGTCCTTGTTTTTCTTCTCAGGACGTTCGTCGACCGGCATCGCATGGATTGTGTGGTAGACCTGGGAGAGACCATACACTCTCCTTCCTTGAAGTAGACCTTGCAAAGGACGAGCTGGCAAAGCCTTGATCACAGTCAGGCCGCTCTCTGGATCTGGTCGACCTCCGCGATCTCTGCCTTCAAAGACGTCTACGTACACTCCAGTATACTCACCATAGGTAAAGTCGTCCAGCTCGTCGTCCCGTATGTCGTCCGTCCTTACTCGAGGGATTGGAAGGGCAGTATCTCTTACCGTGACAATCAACCACAGCTGGACAGGCAGACGCCCTCCAAACGCTACCCGCGATCCATCCTCTGTCGTCCTTTCGTACTCTTGTACCCAGACCCAATCTTTTCGTGGCCGCTTTGTATTCTGCCAGTCAAGTGTGCAGCGCGCGTAGTTTCGCTCGCTTGCATCACCGTGTTCAGGATCGTCGCCATTCATCTTCCGGCACCTGATCGATTGGTGCAGCTGAACTAGACAGTCATCAACCCAGGAAGGGTCCTCTTCAACCCTGTCCGGATTTCCAGCTCTATGCGGTCCAGTCGAGGCAGCTACGGCCTCGGTAAGTCTGCTCTCTCGGACAAAGACGGCAATTGCCTGCATGAAATTCCTGCCGTCTTCGTTACCTAACAATGTAGCCACCTCGCTCACCGGTGTCCAAAGGTCTTTGTCTCTCCTACGGTGGGCTTGAGGAAGACCAAAGAACCTTGCTAATGACACCGGTTCAGAGGGCTTTACTGGTTCTTACGATTCCTCCCTCCGCTCTGCATTTGTTTTCTGCCTTCGAGGAACCAGCAAGTCTTGCACAGCAAGCATATTTAGTCCGCGATGGTGGTGGTCCATCAGCTGGTCTTCCCAGTTCTCCCGGCGATTTGTTCGTTTGAAGCCCTCCTTGACATATGTATGGTGTTTGTGCTCTGGGTGACTTGTATCCCAGTTCGGCGCACAACCATAAAGCTTGATCATATCGACGTAGTGGGTAAGTGCGTGCCACTTTGGAAAGTTGAAATGACGGTCTTCTTCCTCGGCTTTTGGGTTTCTGTATTTTCGAAACACCTCCTTATGCTCATTCATCCTGAACAACGCTAGATCAAAGTATCGCAGCGTCTCGTCATCGTGGCTCTCATACATTGCCAGCATGATAAAGTCCACGGTTGCTCTGATGAATCGGATAGCTTCCTTTGCTTCTTCGGTACCTATTTCCTCCAAGATCGGCACAAACACTGGAATGATCTGCCTTAGGATACTTTTTTGCTCTGCGCCAGTCCATTGTGATACCTTTGAGAGGTGTGAGAATACACGCAGGCTTGGATAGGGAGGGGTCGCCGCAAATCGACGATCGATGACTCCAGTGACAATGGCCTTTGCGACGCTAAGTTTATTTGACTTCCTTCGTTGTCGTCTACTGCCCTTCCCTCGCGCGGTTCGTATCTTTTCAGCCGCTTGACCAACCCGGGTGCCCTTCTTGTTTTGAGCCTGATCTGTTATGAAGGCTTGAGTCCAGGCCAGAACATGCATCATTACGCCCTTCAAAAGCTGGTGCAAAATGTCAACCATCATGGACTGATGTATTTCCATCCTGGGCTGCTTAAATGCGAAACAATTGATATCGTGCATTCTCTCGTCTGGGTCTAGGTCAGAGTCCGAGTCTGACACCTCTGAGAGCATGTTTATATCCGCGCCCAAAACTGGCACTGCTGGTAGGCCGTTGTCGCTTTGTTCAGGACGAGAGCGCCTCTTCCGTGGCTTAACCCCTTGCTCTCGTTGTCGTACGATGCGTAGCATCGTGTCGGCTGCTTCCTCCAAGGGCGGCGTGCTAGCAGATCCTCTCGCATGTCTGGATGGATGGTGCAAATTGTGCACTGGCGACCGCTCAGCACACCTGTAAGCTTTACCTGTTCCTCGTAGTCTGTTGTAATGGCGGCAATGATTGGATAGCACTTTCTCATCCAGCCATCAGAACACGGAATCTCCACTCCGGACTCGAGAGCAGCCTTTTTACGGACTCGAAGACTACATCAAGACATGCATGGAAGTACCGGCTCTTCTGCTCCGCGTCGCCCTCTTTGATACAAGGCAGAAGAGCCAGTAGGATCGAGCCAGGTCTTTCGTTAGAATGCCGTGTGTCGGCCTTGAGATTACCAACCGACAGGTAGACTGCGTGTGCCTCGAGGTCTCCGGACTGCAGTGTTAACTTTGTCTTGTCGCTTGCAACAATCAAAGGTACGATTGTCACGCCCTTCGTAGCTTCGACCTTGTTAAGCTCTTCTTGCATGTTCCACCACCAGTCGCCAGAAGGCATATCGGTATATCTCCTACAGACACGCTCCTCATCGGTCCAGGCTCGATACGGCGCAAAACAGAGCTCCTCGCGAAAGCCAGCATGCCCTAAGAAGAACTTCACTGCACTTATCGGGTCACGATACCGGATATGGTATGTAGCAAATCCAGTTGAGCTACCGTCGCTTGGGACCCGAATATCCTTCGACGTCCATGATCCAATGTCGCCCACGGTAGGCATGCTTTCCATCTTTCGACGCAACTGCTCCGCTGTCTTCCAACTAAGCATCTCTTTTAGTTCCGCCAGGTCGTCGTTATTTAGCAGCCGATCAATGCCGTTCTTCGAGATGTTCTCTCTGTGGATCCACCGTGCAAACTTAAAGTCAAAGTCGCTTTCAAAGCCTCCAAGTAGAGTCGTCCGTGTCGTGTCTTGTGTAGGACATCTGTATAGCGTTAGTACACCCCAGGAATTGACTTTCTTCATATACACCTTTCTCCAGTCTTGCCGGCTATACGGCCTGTTTGTTCATTATATAGGTCGCGCACTTCTGCCGTCGCTGTAGATGATAACCTGCCACTACTCGGCCGTATTGTGGTAGACCCTAAGGAAGACGATGACTCGACGGTGTGGGAGTAGTCCATCTCAATATGTGCTGCATCCGCGGGAACTGGCTGGAGGATCTCCTCTTCCTCGTCTGCTGCAAGAGCCGGCATGGTTCCAATCGCATTATACAACTCCGTAAAGTCTGCAACTGGAGATGGAAAGCGGATGTCGGCGAGAGAGTGCTTTTTGGTGACCACTGGGGACTGTGACTTGTTCTCCATGATGACGATGCTCCAGTGGGGTTGCAGTCTTCGCCAACCTCCATTCCCATGTCATATTCCTCGTCTTCCTTATGCGTTGGTAGATCCTCTTCCGCCTCTTGCACGCCTTTGCTTACGCTGCCCTCATTGTTTGGTACTGTGGCCGTTTCCGTAAACGTTGGTAGCTTATCAAATATGTCTTCTTCCGTCGCGTAAGTATGGTTGTTTGAATCGGTCGGCGCGGTATTCGATGCTAAGCACTTTTTAGCCATACTGTGACAGCCGTCGACCCACGCTTCTATCCCGCCGGACGTGCGGCGTACTTGCCTTCGCCGTTCCAGTATGAGACCATGGCGCTATGGCTCGCTCTGCATTGGGCGACATGGTACTCCCTGGCGCGACCTCTTCCGAATTGACACCTACTGCAATATGGACAACTTTTTGACATGGTATGTGGTGATATTGGTTATGTAACAGTAGGGAATGACGCGTTTGTGGTGAGAAAATGGTGGTGTTGTTAAAGCCAAGGCGTGTCAAAACCCTGCGCGTCACGCGTGCCCTCGCCGAAGCCCAGCACCACTCCTGGCAGGAAATCTGGCAGGATCTCGCCCTCTCACGCGTCTCGGCACCCGCCTAGCTGCTCCCTTACACGCCTCGCCCAAGCCTAGCACGAAGCCAATACTCTCTTTCCCTCTCGCACGTCTTATCTCTATCCTCGGCTTTTCCTAGCCATAACAATGCCTTTTCAGTTGGATCAAACCTCGCTGTTCCATAAAACTCTTGATCGCGGTATATCTAGAGTGGCACGCAAACTCCAAGCGCAAGACTCGCTCCAATGTCAACGCGCCCGAGGTTTATGTGGTCGTCGTATCCCCACTTCTGATCAAGTTGCTCGTCGCGTTCACGAGGCTCAGAGTGCCGCCGAACGTGTTAGATACGTTCGGCTCACACAGTCCGAGGCTCGTCAATCTATTAAGATTGGTTGTAATCTTGAGATCAGACGCTGTGATCAACAGCAAAGAATATGGCTTAGCAGACAGCGAGTCCTGAAGGAGCAGCAGAGCAAGGCTCTCGAATACAACAAGTCTCCTTCTAGTTTTGACCTGCAGATAGAAGATGCTACTCGATGCTACCTGTTGTACCGAGAGAAACGAGACATGACCAAGCGGCGCAGGAAGGCTGAACTTGACGCACTCGATGTCGAGCTACAGGCGGCTCAAATCATTGCAGAGACCTCGCTTGATCTTGCCATTGAGGGAGCTGCAATGCTGGTAATAAAGAGTAGTCATCACAGTCGATAGTAAGTTCTTCAATCTTGGTGGAAACGTTGCTTCGAGTCTTGCTACTTATCTACTAATAACCATTGTCTAGACCACTAAACCAGGCTCTTCCGTAGCCTTCTCCTTTATGGTCATTATCTGTGCAACAAGCTCCTTGTCTACACCTGCCTTAACCAACTCGTCGCTGACCAGTTCGGTTGAGAGAAGGCGCTCGTTCATCCACGTCTGGATTGGGATGACCTTTGAGAAACACAAGATGCGAATGACCTCCGTGAACAATGCCTGTTGAGACATCTTTGCACGTCTCACACGTGCACCAATCTGCTGCATGGTCTGCTGGATCCAGTCGATGTCACCCATAATGATGATGTCTCCAGGAACAAGGTCCATTCCGCTGCCGATCATCTTGGCGCCAGCAAGTAGACCGCCAGGTGCGTCTTTGTACGTCTCGTTGCCGACGCCCTTGAACTTTTCGAATATGGCAGCTCTGTCTGTGGTCTCAGCGTTGATGAAGACAAAGTCTTTTTCCCAGCTGTCAAACCCAGTAAAACTCGTACCGGCTTCGTCACCTTCGGCCTGTTTCTCGAGGACCCACATCAACCACATCTTGTAGATGGCCACCGTAAGAGGGCGGAAGGCTGTAATGATAACCTTACGGGGATGTTTGCGGGTGTAGTTCGGCTGGCTTCGGATCTGGTTGATTAGGCTGCGGATCTGTTGCACGTTTGGCATCTTGTCAATCTCAGCCATGTGCTTCCATAGCGCGGACTTCCGAGGGTCTTTCAGAAGCAGTTTGGCCGTCTCGTTAGTGTAACCACCCTTAAATTCCGCGTCAACCAGAGGATCCTGCTCTCGGAGTCTCTCTAGGCAGGGAAACACAAGCAATATACGGAAGCGTTGAATGGCTTGCTTGAAAGCAAATTCGGAAAAGCCACCAGAGCCTTTCTTTTGCTTCCCTTGTCCTTCTTTGCTGACTTGCCGGCATCCTGGAGGACGCGCTTCCACAGAGCGCCTAACCTCTTTTCGTCTTCGTCTGGAATTGTCACTTCAACGTCCCAGCACCTGTGGGATGGCATAGGTGCCGCGACAGCACCATCCGTCGACGAGCACTCCTCCTGGTCGGGGGCCCAGCGGTATTCTGTCGAGAACTTGATCATTTTGCCAGAAAGGATCGTACCAAGTGCGCTGATTAGATTACAGGTTTCGCCGTCGAGAGGCTCGACAACTCTGTCCTCACTGATAGCATCTGGGCCCCTCTGTAAGAGCTTGTCTGCCAGTGCCTTTGTAACCTTGGACCATTTGGACTCAACGTGTTTTGCAATGGCCCAGACTTTGTACCAGCCCTGTTGGCGGAGCATGGTTCTGATGTGCTTGGGCTGTGTAGCACCCCAGTCGGTTGGCTCCAGGTTCTTGATCCCCTTCGCTCTGAGCTCGGGGGACTTTTTGAGCGTTTTGAGGATCCATGAATAGAAGGTTTGCTTATCCGACCGCTCTTCGGAGTCCCAGTACCTCGACTCAGCCACCAAGCAAGGGCCAACTAGCGCCATCGGCCTATGGAAGGGGTCCCGCTGATGTAGATGAATTGTGGATGACCGGGGATGTTTGCAAGGCCTTTCCAGACTAGGATGTCCTGACCCTTGTGCTCATGGAACTCGTCGACAAAGACGCGAGCCCATGAAGAGTTAATGGCCTTCTCTACCACCTCAAGATTGACTCGACGATTGCCCGCCCACTTGTCATCTTCAAGCCAGAGGTTTTTTCCTACAAGACCTGGTGTTGTAATCACCAACCATCTTATACAGCCATTATGCCATGGAGGTGGTCCAGAAAAGACCACCTCGCCACCGTAGTGGGCAATGCGCTCCTCTCTCTCCTCTTCCGACTCAGGCCCTTCAGGTTCGGGAAGGTGTGGGTTCTCGATCAGGTTACGCTCAAGCAAGTCTCGCACTCTGAAGGGATTGGGAATCTCTAGACTCCATGCCGTGTACCTCTCATAAAGCTGCTCGTCTGTGGGATACCAGGGTGAGGACTTTGGAATGACACTTTGCGGAGTCCAGCAATGTTCCTCAGCGATAAACATCTCTTTCTCATGCGTCTCCAAATTGGGGCCAGCAAGCACAATCTGGATTCCATGTCCAACGAACTTGCGGACATTTTGGATCCAAGTTGCACTGAGTTTGTGCTCGGCAACGACAAGAGTGGGACCATATTCAACGCGAAGCTCTGTTCCAGACAGGTCTAGCTCTTCGTCTGCGTTGACCAAACTCCTGGCATTGAAGTAGGCACCATTGGTGTACTTCATGTCCTCAACGTCTCTCTTCATATCCTCGGCCATCTCGATGGAGGTCATCATGGTTGCAATAGCGACTGCGGTCTTTCCAAGGCCCATATCGTGGCCTACGACAAGGTATGGATAAGAGGCAAGTAGCTTTTGGACAAGCCAGGCCGTGGAGTACATCTGGTAGGAACGGAGAAAGTTCTTCTTGGTCCAGCCTTCAAAGTAGACTCCAGAGGCTTCGCTGTAGTCCAAGGGGTTGCCTCCAAAGAAGGCGCAGGCAGCTCTCCATAGCTCAGGGCTTCTTTGCTCAAAGTTGGTCCACTTTGCGGTGATGTTGTCAAGCGTCTCGCCTTCTGTAAGGACTGGTGCGTCATCCGCCTCAGTATCAATAAAGCCCATGATGGTATCTGGGTCGTCGGGCGACTTGATACCACTTGACATCCAGGGACAGAGTTTTGATCCAGCAGGTAGCTCGATAGATGGGACTGCTGTTGGCTTCTCCACAAGTCCAGCGCTGTCAAACTGTCGCCAATAGGGATAGGGGGAAACTGTAGCAGCGTCGAGCATGGCCGCGGTTGCTTCCTCTTTAGCCCGAAGTCGTTCGGCCTCTTCAAGGGCAACGCGTGCAGCCTCCTCTGCGTGGAGCTTGGCTGGCGTAACAGTGGTTCCATCATCTGGTGCGCCCCCGGTCTTGCTCGGAGTATCGTCGTCAGGTTCAACCTCGTCATCAGTGTCGTTGCCTGGGATGCTCGGAATGGGTGTGTCTGGAGGCTCGTCTAATATACCAGACGCACCCTCGATTCCTGATCCACCAGGACCCGGAACGGCAGGGACAGTAAGCTTCGGCTTCGGTTTGGTCGTTGTCGTCTTCGGCTTGGTCGTTGTCGTCTTTGCTCTCTTGGCCGAAGAAGTATTCGAGGCTTGATCTCCTGCCTTTCTCTTCCTGCTCAGCTCCGAAAGAGGGACCTCATCATCGCCATCCGAGCCGGGGGTTGGCGGAGGAGGTTGTTGACAGATGCGTTCCGATCGGATGTCTTGGTATTGATCGCGGGCGGCGGCAGGGATGAGGTCGAGGTGGGCTCTCTCTGCTGCAACAAAGACTTGAATAACGTCGATTTGTTGTGGAGCCAGTTCTCTTGCGTGGATAATTGTGCCGGCAGTCTGACCGGCGGCCTTCTTCGCTGCGAATTTGGCCTTCTGTGGATCGGTGTAGACCGTGTCGACAAGCGGCAAGATCGACCATTCGCGGGTTCCTGTGTTGTAGATTCCAGCGGTCATATCCGAGATTTCAACAGCGGGCACAGCCATACAGCATGTCTCAAGGTCGAACCGGAACTGCCCTAGCTCGACAAGGTCTAAGGGCTTGGTGGGGTCCGTAAAGTAGTTGGTAGTTGATGTTCGGATGGATGCGGTTAGCTTCACACTGTTTGAAGAAGCATCGTGGATTGCAACCCAGACAAAGGTAATCAGGAGCTCGTTGAGCTCCTTCTTAACTGTCGGCCTCTCAGGAGTCGAGTCTTCGAGGTCCATGTCATCGACACCATCAGTCAGGCCAGTAGTAGACGCGCCGCTCTGTACGCTGCGGCCACGGCTACGAGAAGTTTGACGGCTTCCAGGGTGACGAGATGATGCACGACCAGTGCGGGTGGATGACTTGGAACGGGCTGCAGGAGCGGAAGACTTGGTGCCCTCTGCTTTCTCCTTGCACTCCTTTGTATATTCCAATTGCCCTCTCTTCGAATGTCATCCACGACGACGCGGATCAAGGCCTGGACAATGCTGGACCTGAAATGCTCATGGTCCTGACCATAGAAGAGATGTTCTTCCTTCCACCAAGCTGGGGTTCCTCCGGCCTGATTCCTACGATTGAAGAAGACGCCATTGATTGGTGGTTGCGTGGCGCCGTTAAGAAGTGCGCTCTGGAGTCTGAAGCGCTCGTCCAGTATGTCCGCAGAGTCGCCTTTCCAGCTGGTGAACTTGTAATCGCTCTTCTCCCCAGGATCACCAGGGGGCTTGGCTACCTTGGAATCCTTGAGCAAGGTGGTAACGGCGCGGACAAGTTGGTTTTGTTGGATTTTAGGGGCACCCAGCCAGGACCAGAGGAAACCCTTTGTGATGCTTTTGTTCTTGCTGAGAATGAGGTCTTTGACATTCTCCGGGGTAAAGGTACTCGGATCCTTTTTTTCCATGACGACTGCGGCTGACATGATGGGCAGGTACTCTGTATCAGGTGTGTGGTTAGCATCGAGAAATGCACGCCTGGCCAAGTTATACATACATGCTGATATGCGAACAAAGACTTTGCAGCGAAGACTTCGAAGGCCGGATCCGGCCTGACAAGTGGAATGTGGTCCCGAGGCAACAATGGACTTTTGAGCTGAGAGAGTCAAGCCCTGAGCGCTGGGGTGATTGCGCCGAGTGGTGGGTGCGAAGTGATGACGGTTGAGCCAGCGACGAACAGAGCCACGTGTAGAAGCAGACAACGTAGTGAGAAAGAGCAGTGCCAGTCAGAAGAGTGATGCGCGCAAAAACAAAGCAAAGTTGGTAGACCGGCGAGCGAGAGAGGAAGGGCCAGAGTTGCGAGTGTTGTTGATATTGAAAGTCCGGCGGCGTTGATTGGTGGAAAGACGCCTGTCACGTGAGATGGTCAGAAAAAGGAAAGGCTTTCCACTACAAGTCGTGGTCAAGGTAATCAATACGTACAGCAAAGGCCTACCAGTCGAAGTGATCGGATGCGCCGTGGAGTGATAGAACAGTTTGATGTGTAAGAACTGGCAGCGATTGGAAGGACCGTGAAGTAGCAAACGGATGTAAAGCAGCTATGTCTGGATTGTGAAAGACGCTTCATCATTCTGATTAGCACCCTGTGTAACATGGCTGCTCGCAATACTTCAGACTACTTTTCGCACCTTGTAGGCAACAACATAGAGCACGCTCAGTATCGCTGCTTTCATCAGGAGCACGCTCAATATCGCTGCTTTCATCAGAAGCACGCTCAGTATCGCTGCCTTCTCATGTCACTGCACCCTTGTGACAGTCACTTGCGCCAGAGCTTCAGGTATAAATCTGGCCTCCCTTACCACACCAACCTTGCCTTCAACATCAACCTTCTTACTTAAACAATCTTCTCTCATACGTTACGCGTCTTCCATCTCTCACACTTGACCTTCAAGACTCCGCGTTTACTCACAAGCACATTACAAACAGAAGCGCGTCACCCAGTCAAACCTCTGCTCTTTCTTCGCATCCTCTTAACCACAAATGTATGTCACTCTATCAGTGCGCATCTCATGATTACAGATGTTGACTTCAATTTCTTAGCCTAATAACAGCACGCCCAACATGAACAACACTACTGTGATCGCTTGGTCTGCGCTTGGTTTGTTTACTACGTTCACCTGCCTCTGCTTTCCAAGCTGACAGACATACACAGGTCGCAATGAAGGTCACCTAACCTTGGCCTGGATGACCAGCGCTTACCTCGCGCTCAAGGCACTTCCTCGCAACATGGTCTCTGAACTACTCATGCCTATCTACGACGACGCCTCTAGCATCTATGTTCCGTATCAGCTGCCCACTCCTCACAGCGACCGCAACGGCCGTCCTCTCATGATCCCGTTTATTGAATCAAGCCATATGGCTGCTCTGTTCGTCGCCTGCAGCCAGCTCGCAGAACCATCCAGAAACTGCGGATGCGGATCAACAACTGGGCCTGCAGTATTCGCAGAATGCCTCGCAATCCCCAGAGTCCACATCTGTCGCAGTCTGAGAGGTCCCCCCTTGCCTTACCATGGAGCATGCGCTGGCTGCGTCTTCAACTCTGGTGCCACGACCGGAGGGAGCTCTGTACCTGCAGCATCGTCGGACGAGCTGCTGAGGCCAATGCAACTCGAGACAGTATCCAGCATTTGCAGCGCAACCTCATGATCACTCAAGATAAGGTCTTGCAGCAGCGTCTCAAACAGTCCTTGGATGCAAACGTCGCCAACCTTACCCGCTATGTCCAAGAGTTGAGAGCGGAGATCACCCACCTGGAGAATGGCAGTATCCCAGTACCTGCCGTTATGAGAACGTCTCTGGCCGACAACAGAGGAGTTGTTGGACTCTGAACACTAACGACATATCTAATTGTCCATTCACCAAGGCAAAGATAGGAAGCACGGAAAGGAGCGGTTGATTTTGAATGGGAATTATGGCCTCAAAGCAGTATAACCCAGATACAAAGATGGCTACAAGCGAATGGGCTTGAGCTTTTAACGAATTGAACATTTTGAACGCATGATACATGAACTACATTTGAAGAAACTGTCCACTGTGTATAGGTTGACGTCAAAATAGCACAGATTATAGAGGTACGTGCACGTCGGATTTACAGCGGCGATTCATAGTCACGTGTTTGATAAGACAATTTCGAAATGGCCATTGCTCTTGTACTGTAACGCGGCCGTGTAAGGTCACCCTGTCACGGGCATCGCGGCTGAGTTTCTTCTTGGCATACAATCCCTCGAGATGTCAGCACTACTGAAGGAACCAGCCATTCACCGAGTCAAGAAGGCACGGCCAGAGGTTGGCCTACAACCTTTCCACCCTATGTTTGAGCTCCAAGATGGTGAATATCGCAGTCGCCAGTCGTTGCAGACAGTCGCGCAGATTGCGTCAACTTCGATAACATTCAAGCAGTTTTCTCACATGGTAACAAGAGCCTTTATCGAACGCCACCAGCGGAGCTCCATCGAAGACCGGTCAGATCTCAAGAGACGAGGCACCTTTAATCTTGTTATGAGTCGCAGCGATCTTGCTGCCATGAAAGCCAACCGAGTGTCGTACCACCCACTCACCCTTTATGAACTGAGCATATTGGACAAACTTGGTTTCCAAAGTCCAACAGGATGGCTGGCCTGTTAGCAAAACTCATCGCCGACGTCGACCCCAAGAGCAGAACCAAGATCAATATCCGCGGCTGCTGCCACTTCCCACACCGGCTATCGGGCCGCCATTGCTCTCCCAAACATACACCCTTCCCCGCTCCGGTAGCCATCCGAGATCTTCAACTCCTTGTCAAGAAGAGCAGGATATACATACTCTAGACACAATGGACATACAGAGTGTCGATGATTTCCTCGATGAGATGTGCTTTGCTACGTTTCACCGCCGCCAAGGTTGGGGCACAGAAGGAGGGATGGAGGATGGCTGTGTTTCTTCTGAAACATGGCTATCGAACATTGTGGACGAGTTGCTCACTCCGACATTGTAAACTGTTGCTCGGAGGTCAAGACTTCGTGTACCAAACAGTGAGATTGATAAGGCTGCTATTCAGAGATCCTTGCAGCCTTTCATTCAGAACCACGCCGCCTGCTCTTCCTCCTACCTACAGGGACTCCTCCATCTATCACGCTGCCTCGGACGCTGATCCCACCAATTTGCGTGGGAGGCCTTTACTGTCGCTGGCAACAAGCATAAGTTGAGACCACAGATTCTCATGTTCATTCTTATGGACAAGAACAGCTTTGTCTATGGCAAGATCAAGAGATTCTGTGAATGCAAGCTCGGTATTCCTTCTCAATGCGTTCAGTACGCTCACGTTCAGAAGGCTCAGCCCCAGTACATCTCGAACGTGTTGATAAAGTTTATTGCCAACTTGGGCGGCTTCACCAACACCGCCTTTGCTCAGCAGACTGTTAAGGGCATCCTCGACAACACTACCGTCGTTATTGGCGCCGATGTTTCTCACTCTCCTCCCGGTCTCAAGGGCCCATCTATGGCCGCCATGACTGTCTCGATGAACCTCTAGGGCACTCGTTACGCTGCTGCCGTTGAGACCAACGGTTTCCGTGTCGAAATGATTACTGATGAGAACATTGAAAAGCACATCATGTCACCTATCAAGAACGGCTGGGTTAATAAGGTTGGCCAGGGCAGAGCTCCCGCCACTGTCGTCTACTTCTGTGACGGTGTCTCAGAGGGCTAGTTCGCTCAAGTCATCGACCAGGAATTGGCTGCCATGAAGAAGGCTTTCCTCAAGATGTTTAACAGCTCTCCCAAGTTCTTGGTCGTCGTTGCCTCCAAGCGCCACGACTGTCTCAAGGGCTCTGCCATGCCCGTCTCAATGAGTGCCACCACCACTCACTATGCCGCCGCTGTCGAGACCAATGGCCACCGCGTCGAGATGATCACTGATGAGAACATCGAGAAGCATATCATTACCCTCATTCAGAACGGCTGCTCGAGACAGGTTGGTTAGGGCGGGCATTCTGCCTACTTTCGCGACACCTTACTGCCTTCCAACCACGAACAACTACTTTTTCTGGTCTCTGCGCATGCATGTTACTTGCTAAAACAATCACATTCGTACAGACTCTTACGTTCACTCTCACTCCCGCTCTCACTCTCACTCCTTTAAGGCAGCAACACGCTCAGAAAACCATCATAAAGGTAGCCTCCCTCCCACTTCCAAACCCTCTCAACAACATCAACATTAGTCAGTTATCTCTTGACCAGTACTCCAAGTGTTACATCTCTTGCTTCAATACTTCCATCCTCGTTGGCTTCTGGATTCACCCCTTCAAACTCAGCAATGTAAGTTGATCGGTCTGTCATTCCTACGCACGATCTCTGACTTTTGACAGCATGGTTCACCTTGTTCCTAGTCAAGTCTGGGGCGCCAACAGCACTGGCGGGCGCTACAACTTCGCCAGCGATCTAGCCTGGACCAACAATCATCCTCGCGTCTTTCACCTTCGTCAGGATTTCATCCGTCACTTCATCGCCTTGAACAACATCGACAGTGCCGCAAGAGCTGGAAAGACAATTCTGGACATTGGTACAGGCGCAGGTCTCTTCATCTACGTGCTCAAGCAGATGGTTCCTGGACTGCGCGCGGATCAGATTACTGGCATCGACGACTGTATGGCTCTCATTGTCCGCGGCCGTATCAACATCTCAGCCCCGGGTGCATCTGGTGCAGCTGCCATCTATACTCCTGGAGTAGCGCGCAACATCATCCAGCAGTGCGACATGAGCCAGGCTGCTGACCTTGATCGCCTTCGAGCAGCCCGTTTCCCCCATGGAGTGGACATCATCGTCGCCATCAATGTTCTCCATCTCTTTACCGAACCCTGCCAAGTGGAACTGCTACGCGACTGGACGGCCCGCCTCTGGAACCAAGCTCCAGGCAACAAGATCGTCGTCAATGTGCTGCCTCAGCGGGAGCCTACCATCTACGGCGCCAGCTTTGCAACTGGGCCTTCTTCCGAGGGCCAATTTGTCGAACCTCAAGACTTTAAGGTGGCTCTCGCAACTCGCCAGGACGCGATCGACATCGGTAACAGTGCCGGACACTTGGTTACACTCGGCAATGTCCTAAGCCTAAACACCAGAATCTCGGGATTCCCGGATGTACAACCAAGAAAGGCGTATGTCGTGACTACACCAGCTCTGGTCGTGCCCTTCATGAGAACCCGTCCGTTATATGTGAACGCAATGGGCTACGTCGACGTATCTGCCACACAAGGACTGCTGCAGGACTCTGAGGAGAACAAGAAGGCCTTTATCAAGCAATTCGCTGACACTCATGTGAGTGCACTCGTCGCTCGCAGAGTGCTTGATGGCCCTGAGGTCCTTGTGGTTACCGAACACATGTACACCCTCGTAGTGTTCTTGGCCTAATTTGTGGCTCCCAAGAAAGGCAGGATTGGAAGCAGGGAGGCTCGATACTCAAGAATGGACTTAACCACATGGTCGGTCGAATATGACCACCGAAACGGGCACAAGCCTTTTACTATGGATGGGATGGAGAGAACTCTGGAGAAAGACTGTGGACCTCAGCAACTTACTTTCAAATGGAAAGTCACTTGGAATGCAAGATAGCTCGTAGTGGAAAGTCACTGGAACGATAGGGTTACGCCTACAATGCAGGCAAGGAAAACCAGTTACTTCAGACAAATTGATACAAGTCTACTATAACCGCCCTCAAGGGCTATCTGTCATCTTTGAGGATATGCGATACATCGAAACCAATATGTACATGTAAGCATTTCAGAACTTATCATGATAGATTCTGATATGGACTGATAAAGCCAGGTAAAGTGTGTTACAGTTGTCGACGCTTTGAACTATAGTAGGCTTCTGCGGCTGGTTGTCTCTTTCCTGTAGGTTGGGCCTCTCTACGATCCGTAGTCTGCTAATTTGGCTCCGAATATGGGAGGTCTAGGTGTACCGAGGCAATTTAAGTACTACCTTGAAGGGCAGGGTGAGGGGGCGGCAAGTGACCAGGGGCCAATCTGGTGCGCGACGGTGATATCCTTGTAGATGAGTCCACATGTCAACAGGCGAAAACATATTTCTCGAAAGCTCTTGACTCTCATGTTGAACGCCGGTTAAGGCTAAAGAGGCAGTGGCGATACAGACACATCTAATGGCAGGCGGATGGTGCCGACCGCGGGTGGCACGACTGTTACACGAGCAACTCTCTTCTGTTTTCGCCTATCCAAAATTCATGCAACATTCAAGAACGCGTAACTTTGATACTTATCTTCTCCTCTACCACAACACTTGCTAATATACACGCGCAGGATGGCTCAACCGCACCCCGTAACCACCCGAACCCAGACGAAGACGGCAAGACGCGTGCGTAACAGATCGATTGCGCAAAGTAACGGAAACTCTGAAATTTGGCAGGACTCCCTTCCATCTCCAGACTTCTGTAGATATTCTCTGGTTGATTGGATATCCATATTATCCCAGAACTTGACAGGGTGCTCCTGTCAGCAACCATATAACGGCTATACCACGCTATATCGAAATCCAGTTTTTGATAGAAATAATTCAAGTGCAAGTTTAATGCTTCGACATATGATATTAATCGAGTCAATGCTTGGTTTTGGCGACTGTTGTTGTTCAAAACAATTTTTCACAACTTGACGTATCAAAATTGCGCCAGTATGGAACATTGCAGACTGGAGAGTCGGATGAGTGAGCTAGAAGATAGGATATGATACACTCGTCGAACGCGTCGGCACTGGCGTCCTTCGGTACCGGCAAGCGAGACGGGTATCGAACGACATCCGAAGATCTGGTGAAGCCATCGATCAACGCTCCCAGCCCACTATCGGGCCATAGGATGCTGGCCTCGACAAAACCATGGCCAAATCCAAATCGCTCAAGGTCGCTAAGACTACTGCCCTCGTTTGGGGCATGGTCGATACGAGTAAAAAGAGGCGTATCAAAGATTCCTTGGCTAGGGGTGTGCGGTCGTCCGCCAAGTGCTCGCGCGGATGACACCAGATGCTTGCATGAAACGCCAGGCAGAGTCTCTGTTGGAACGCAACATTCTTTGCAGCAATCTTTCCTCTTGAACAGGGGCAATTGGGTAGCACCATGTTCGAGTAATCTTTGCATCTGACGCAGTATAGTGGCGGCCAGACTTCGCACTGAAGTAAATTCCGTAGCGTGGTCAGTCAAGTCTCTGTTCGAAGAAGTGATAGTCTGTTCGTTGAGGGTGAACATGGTCCTATGAAGCTCGACCACTGTTCTGGCAAGACGATATGCCTTCCGTTGCCTGTCCGTCATCACACTCTCTCGAAGAGACGAGACAGGGCTTGGAGCCGGCGATCGGGATATCTTACTTTGACCATTGTGATATCTTACTCTCAAAGCGGTAGTTTCCTCGTGGCTGTACACGGGAGGATGCTCCAGAGGAATGCGAAAGCTGGCTTGCTGTTGTTTTCTTGCGTTTTCTTTCATTGCTTTCTCTCGTTCTTTGGCTGCTTGATTGTGTTGTTGAAAGGTGGTCTCTGGAAGCTTCGCTGGCATCTGGTCTGCGTACTAGGTCGAAGCTGCACATATTATCAACAGACCAACTGACTATAATCTCGTTTGGATAAGCATTACTGATCTCACAGGCGGTGATGTGTCCGGAATCTCTTTGCGCCATGATACGCTGGCCTCGAGGTGCAAACTTGCGTACACATCGAGTGGCTTGATCAAGTATTTCTTCATCCATGTCTGACAGATTAGTAGCGGAGAGAGGTGAAGCGGCCCGTTCATCATTTTTGTCGCGGCCAATCATTCTGCGATCATGAAGGAAACAGTGTAGATGAGCACCACCGAGGACGATGTAATAAGGTTGACTCGGCCAACAAGAGACGGTATTGAGTTCCAAGTCATAACGTTTATAGGAGATCAGGGGATGGTAACAGAGACTGCAGATGTGGACCTACCGGAAGGAGAAGGGTAGGCAGACGACGGTTGACGCAGATCCCATTGGCGCACTTCTCCGTCTTCTGAGCAAGTCAGGAAGAGATGGGGGACGAGTCAGTCACGACTCTCTTTACTCTGTCCCCATGGGAGCGGTAGACTCTGCAGTTTGTGTCTCCGTCACTCAAATGGCGTACTCGGTCTTGTGCATTGCCTCGCATGCCTCTACTAGCACCGTCCAGAGCCATGGCGGACGCGCATGATGCTTCTGTGGCGGCGCCAGAGTACTCCATATCAAAGATGCGGACTTCATGATCACCAGCAGCGGATATGACGGTGCGGTCATTGGAATGGGGCATGAACTTGACAGAGAAGATGTTGACGCGATGGTCGGTGGCGATGCTATTGAATTGCGAGTCGGAGTCGTCTGGTTAATAGGTGTGGATGTTGATGCGCTGATGCTCGGAGTCGGAGGCAAGGAAACGGCCTGACTTGGACCAACTATAGTGATGAGCGAGTTAGAGAAGAGCCATGGTATGCAGCAGTTTGAGGAATGGCAAACCTGAGGGCATTCACCCAACCCGAATGACCGTCGAGCTCGTTCACGATGTCCAGATCACGGATCCAGTTCTTGTCGCCATATATCGACCTCACCTTCCTTGAACGGCCAGCCGAGTCTTGCAGCTCACGTCGGAGCAGGCGATTAGACAGAGTGTCGCGCATGCTGGATCGTGTGAACGGGATGGTCAGTGGCGACAAGGTATGGGCATTAGTCGCAGCATATGAAGATCACGGAAACAGTAGACGGGTGATTCGGTAAATGGGTGGTATGAAGAAGGGTCCGTCAGAAAGATGGATGAATCTAGCAAGCACCATGTCATAGGTACAGCTACCCCAGATCTTGACGATTGAAGTACGCCGTCTGTTCGCCGGCCCGCTGTGGCAGAAGCTACCTGAACGCGACACGCAGTAGCCGAGACAGTCTGGTGGACAGCGAAAGGGAAGTCGACACCGACTGTCATCAACCTGTGGCACTTTTGCGTGGTAGCGCTGTCGCAAAGCTGGAGGGACTGCGCTGTGCGTTGCCATCACATGTCGCTGGCGTGTTTGCGGGAAATGGGCGGTACTCCGTACTTGGAACCGGACAGATCATCTTGCCCAGCCGGGCTGCACCTTTGTCCCCATCTGCCGTGTAGCTTTTTGCGTCAAGCTACGAGACTTGTTTTGGAGTGTAGACGGGTTGCAAACTCTCGTGCAAATGTCGTTTGGTCAAGTCGCTGGCGGTAGCAACAGCAATAGCATAGATAAAAGGCCGTTGCACGAGCGCCAAGGCGCAACCGCTAGCGTGCCGATCAACAATGAAGGCGGCGCTCCATGTCACTGACTCCCCGACGAATTAGTACCTATTATTATTTGTTTGTCGGGAAGTTGGGCAGTCACCCCTGCTCGCTCCTGCCCTCTGATTTTTCACCACGGCGCAATCTTCTCGCCCCGCTTCTATTCGCTCGTCGACGGCTTCGTCTCTTGATATTGCCAGCCAGTTGACGACGGCCAGCTCCATCCTCTGGGATCCTCGCTACACCAATCGCAATCCTCCCCACCAGAGACTCCATCCCACGCACGTCGGCACTCTCTCGCTCGACAACCGCTCCGACTCGACCATCAGCGTGCGCAGTTTAGGCGGCGGCCAGCGCATACCCCCTATGGACAAGCGTCGCCCCAGCTCCTTCCAGCAGCTCGAGAAGCTCGGCGAGGGCACCTATGCCACCGTACGTCGACAACCTCCGACTCTCCTCCATCGCCGACTAACAATGCGCAGGNTCTTTAAGGGCCGCAACCGCCAGACGGGCGAGTTTGTCGCTCTTAAGGAGATCCACCTCGATTCTGAANTAGGGCCCCCTAGCACCGCCATCCGTGAAATTTCACTTATGAAGGAACTCAAGCACGAGAACATAGTCCGTCTACACGATGTCATTCACACCGAGAACAAGCTCATGCTGGTCTTTGAATTCATGGACAAGGACTTGAAGAAATACATGGACTCTAGGGGTGAGCGCGGCATGCTCGATCCTGTCACCATCAAGTCCTTCATGCACCAGCTGCTCCGCGGTATCGCCTTCTGCCACGACAACCGAGTCCTCCACCGCGACCTTAAGCCGTAGAACTTGCTGATCAACAACAAGGGTTAGCTCAAGCTCGCCGACTTTGGTCTTGCTCGCGCCTTTGGTATCCCCGTCAACACTTTTAGCAACGAGGTCGTCACACTATGGTACCGTGCCCCTGACGTCTTGCTGGGCTCGCGCACCTATAACACCTCGATCGATATCTGGTCTGCTGGCTGCATCATGGCTGAAATGTACACCGGTCGTCCTCTGTTCCCTGGAACTACCAACGAGGACCAGCTGCAAAAGATCTTCCGTCTTATGGGCACCCCTTCCGAGCGTTCATGGCTCGGTATCTCTCAATTCCCTGAGTACAAGTCCAACTTTCCCGTCTATGCAACTCAGGACCTGCGCAATATCCTACCTCAGGTCGACCCTGTCGGCCTCCAGTTGTTGAGTGCCATGCTGCAACTTCGTCCAGAGCTTCGCATTTCTGCCACACAAGCTCTTCAGCATCCTTGGTTCGCTGATTTACAACAACTAAGACAGCAACAAGCCCACATGCATCAACAGCACATGCCTGGCGTGCCGAATACCCAACGCGCTTATTGATGCTCCTGACGATCTTTTCTATAGCTAGATGCATGTTCTTGGGTCGGCCGGCGTTTGAAGGAAAGGGGTCATTTTTGTTCTTCATGTTGTTCTTAACGAAACACCACTTTTTGAGGCCTTGACATTCGATTTGTCCTTTGGGACACCCGATACGGTGCCTGTAGTTGTGGGTATGCCCAGATAATGGAGGACCGACTCGCACTGTCGATTCGTCCCTCTGCGCTATAGTTTCTCGTACTTTTCTTGCGATCGTGGTAGAATGCTCGTAATGGAGCATACAATGCAGAACCACTTCTTGGCACATATTGAACACAGTTGATCGCGCATCACCGCAATGGTAGCTAGCATGCCTACATGACACTCTGAAGTGGAGGATGTAAGATCAGACAGCGAGACTGCTAGTTAGCAATTCCGATGCTCCATACTCTCCCCAGTCTTGTACGGGAAAAGATCGTTATCGAGGCCGCTCGGCTCAACAAAGGAACACAGCGCCTACCCCGATGCGCTTGTGACGCGGGGCTTGCAACGGTCCAGAAACCACTCACACGCTTAAGCCATCAGCAAAGTCTCCAGCGTGAACCGATGGCGGCCTGTCTTTATCTAGCTTGACACCGTAATCTTTCTTTCTCATATCTCTGTATATCATTATACTAGGGTAATTGGAACAGTCAACTGGTCGTCGTCTCCTTTGAGCCTTTTTAATCTTGTTCACCACTTCATACGCCTACAAGCGGATTAGAGGCTTGGACACCGCTACATCACTCTACTCGCCGATGCTGCCCGATCTTAGTCTAACTGCAACCTAGCAACTGTCTTCCTTCTGTCAACTTCTGCTCCTCCATCTCACTTTCATCTGGACGGTTCCTCAGTCTCGTACAGTTTCTTCCGATTCAACTCAATTCTTGTCATTGGAATAACTGCTGCGGAGACCGACCTGGCCCGCATGGGCTACAAACTAGAATTGCCTAGAAGTTTGAGCATGATGAGTGTTTTGGGCCTGTAGATTACGCAACGGCATATATCACTGCCCTCACTAACGCTCTTGTGTCTAGCTNCCTTTGCCATCATGGCTGTACCCTTCGGATTGAGGACCACATTCTACATCACTCTCGCAGATGGTCAGAGCGTGACGATCTTGTGGGGATGGTTTCTGGTGTCCTTGATTCCTCTATCAATTACAGCCTCCTAGGCCGAGTTATGCGCTGTCTTCCCTACTGCTAGTGGAGTATACTACTGGGCGGCCATGCTTTCCACTAAGAAGTATGCTCGACTGAGTTCTTGGATTACTGGTTGGCTTACGCTGGTTGGCAACTGGACTGTCATAACATCCATCAACTTCTTAGGGGCCCAACTGATTCTAAGTGCGATCAGCCTCTTGAATGAGGACTTTGTGCCTATAGCATGGCAAATAGTGCTGATATTCTGATGTGTCATGCTTATCTGTATGCTCACCAACATCTTTGGCGCCAAATATCTTGACTCGATCAACAAAATCTGTATCTATTGGACTGGAGCTAGTGTGATCATCATCATGGTCGTTTTGCTTGTCATGTCAGACANNTATAGGAGTGCAGAATTCGTCCTTGCCCACTACGATGAANGTGGCAGTGGATGGCCGAGTGGTTGGGCCTTTTTGGTTAGCCTATTGCAAGCTNTTCACACACTGACTGACTACGGCATGGTTGCTGCAATGTGCGAGAAGGTTCAAGTAAGTCTGACGCCGGAACCAGATTCGATCAAACAAGCTAATATGATGCTCTNNCAGAACCCTGCTTGTGAGGTACCTAAAGTAATTGTCCTCTCTGTGGCTGCTGCGGGTATTACCGGTATATTGTATTCAATTCCGATCCTCTTTGTCTTGCCTGACATTCAGATGCTTTTGGATGTCGCCAATGGTGAACCCAAAGGTCTTCTCTCCAAGACTGTCACAGGCTCGGCAGCTGGCGGTTTCGGATTGCTCTTCCTCCTTCTCGGTATGCTATTACCCAACATGTTGAGACGGCGCTAGTATTGACCATCTACATTAGGCAATCTCCTCTTCACCGGCACTGGTGCTCTAACAGCTGCAAGTCGTTGTACTTACGCTTTTGCTCGTGATGGTGCAATCCCTGGGTCGCGCGTCTGGTCTCGTGCTGACAAACGCTTCGACATTCCCCTATGGGCTTTGGTCTTTTCGACAGTGGTTGATTGCCTACTGGGCCTGATCTACTTCGGCAGCACTGCAGGCTTCGACTCATTCATAGGAGTAGCCACAATCTGCCTTTCGACCTCATACCGATTACCTATTTTGGTTAGCGTACTCCGTGGACGCAAAATGGTCGCCCATTCCTCCTTCTCTCTGGGCCGTTTCGGATCGGCAATCAACGTGCTAACTCTTTGCTGGATTGCCTTGGCTGTCGTCTTATTCTGTATGCCGGTTACGTTGCCAGTCGACCCGAGTTCTATGAACTATGCCTCTTGCGTTTTCGCAGGCTTTGCTGCCATCAGTGTTGTGTGGTATTTCATCCGCGGAAACAAAGCATTTACAAGCCCACCAGTTCCTGCTGATGTGAGTATTACATTATGACGAGGACCATCAAGGGCGCCGGTTATGGAAGTGGCAGCTTCATTATGCTCGACCACAACTACAACGTTGCTTATAACCTCACGACAAAAAGCCTTACCGTTGGTGGAGACATTCACGAGATTGAGCTGATGGACGATCGCACGGCATTCATGACTGCTTACGAGCCTATCCAATACGACCTCACAACTTATGATATCGAGAATGGCTGGCTTGCCGACTCTCTGTTCGAAGAAGTCGACATTGCTACCACGATCTCATGTTCTCCTGGCGCGCATCCGAGCACATTGCCCTTAACGCCTCGTACGCCGATCCCGGTGCCGTAGGCATATCCTTAGACAGCCCCTACGACTTCTCTCATATCAACTCTATCAGAAAAGATGACTCTGGCAACTATCTGGTCTCTGCAAGACATACACACGGTATCTATTACATTAACGGAACCAATGGCGATATCATCTGGAGTCTTGGTGGCTAGAACAACGACTTTGAGGACAAGAGTGACAACTAACCTTGCAGGGCAACACGATGCCCGCTGGCGCGGCACCGATTTGACAGAGATGACTCTCTTCGACAATGACGCTGTCGACTGGGTCAAAATAGAAATCGAAACTCGCGGTCTCTGGCTTAGTCTTGACGACCACGATATGTCCGTTAGCCTCGAGCAAGACTATATCAGTCCCGAAGGCGTCTTGTCTATATCGCAGGGTAGTATGCAAGTGCTTTCAAATGGCAGTGTCTTTATGGGATATCGCAGCAACGGTGCCCTTGTAGAATACACCAACAACGGTGAAGCCATCTGGGATGTCCAACTCGGCATCATTGGTAATTCGAGCGTACAGAGCTACCGCGCTTATAAGCAAAACTCGCAAGGCTTCCTGGCTGGAACCCTAGTATTGTTGCCACAAGCAATGGTACTGATAACACTACTGTCTACATGTCGTGGAATGGTGCCACTGAAATCAAGCAATGGGCAGTTCTTGCCTCAAACTCGTCTTCGTCTCTCGCCAGCGCTGATGACTTGTGGAAGAACGCCACAAAGACTGGTCTAGAAACCAACGTCACTGGAGGCACTAAGGCCCGCTACATCCGTGCCGCAGCTCTAAATGCTGATGGTGAAGTCCTCGGTGCCACTGATATTGTTGATGTCAACGATGGATCTATTTCTTCTGCAAATGTCAAGGTCGATATCGGTTCTGGCGATGCAGACACTACTGTTACCCGCTCGGCTTCTGGCTCCGATTCTTTCTCTGGCTCTAGTGGCAATGATACTACGGCTGAATCTGACAAGGATAGTGCTGCTGGCTTTATGAATGCTTCTTCCTCGCTTGCGCTCTGGGAGTGGCGATGATTGTTCTGTTTACCTCTGAATTCTAAAAGTAGTATTTTGGTAGATTTGTACCCCATAACATTTGTAATGTGTTCGAATATACAAGATCATCTGTGTTTCTTGAGGGTGTCAGGCTTCTTAGTATCATTCGGGGTGTAGACTGTTGCTTGTGATGGTTAGCACGAATTATGTCGTGCAGTTGTCCGTCTGTCAACCACTCACGCATCATCCCGAAACGCTCTCTTCCTCGCTTTCTTTCTTGCGCGCCGCGCGACATGTCTTTCCTTCCTCGATGTCTTTGTGCTCGTGGTAAAAACAGAGATCGCGTTCATAGGGTGGTATGTCTTGTATNCTATACACGTCATCGATGTCCTTGGACGCAATCTTGTTGGATTCAATCGCTTCGAGGGGACAAGTCCTAAATTGCTGGCTCGGTAGCCTTCTTTCCATCGTCACCGTCACAGCAGTGAGGAATGCAACGGGAAGGTGATTCCAAGCGTTGTGAGACGAAGCGAACGACACGCCATAGGCGTGAATGTGGACGAGAAGCCGACGCAAGGGGGATTTCTGAGTGGTGTTTGCGTAGGCGTGAAGTATTGCTGAACAGTCTGGTGTAATGCCCACTTTGTAACTTCTTTTGNNATCAATGGCATCAAGGATCTGTCTCTTGAGTGTAGCAGCATCCAGATGATCAGCCAGTACAAACAACGCTTCGAGGATTAAGTAGGTCCAGCTTCGAGGAGCTTCTCGATCAAACTTTGAGAGATCGTCAACGTTGTTTTCATCAACATTGGCTGAGTCATAGTCTTCTTCCGCTTCGTAGGAGCACCCCACTCTCAACACCGTATCGAGTTGAGCAAATTCGTCTTTCGAAGAGGCCTCTGGGTCCGAAGANTTATAAGCGACCTTGCCAGTATACAACCAACCAACAAACACTCTGAAAAGTACCACACGAACGTCTTCGAGCTCGACGCGGCGGGTCTTAGCTTCTTTGAACTGTCCAGAGAGTGCCTTGGCGAAGTATGTTGACTTTGAGCAGAGTAGTTCTTCGTGTATGCAGAATTCTTGTTCGTCGGGACCGACATGGACAGTGACCATTGGTGAGTAGAGCAATCTGACAAAGATCTATCAGTCAAGATATTCATGTGTCTTGTGGTTACGCGAATACCTCATGGAGCTTAGCGACACTTGTGGGCCACTAGAAGGAGACATTGTGTTTAGCAAGGAGATTCTGGTTGTTGATGATCAGATGGATGTGTTCGTCAGTGTGGTTGTGTGATGAGCAAGACGAGGTGCGAAGTGGTTGGAAGATCTTACGCGGAGACCTGACTAGAGAACGCGGAAACGCATGCCTTCAATCTGATCGACATAAGGTTTACAAGATGCTGCAGTGGGTGAGATGAGGCATATTGATCAGACAAACTCACGACTACTAACTCCATTGTGGACAAATTGTGCTAACGGTAACCACCTGAAGATGTGGATGCGCTTCGCATGTCATGATCATAGACAGACTCAAAAGCAAAGCCATATGGACCACTCTCGTTGGACCTTGGACACCACCGGGCTCTACAGACAATGGAAGAAGCCACTGGACAGTGTCGACATTGACTAGCAATCTCTGAGGCCCGATCCGGAGTCTCTTTGTCTCACACTATGGATTGAACTGTATGAAGTGAAGTTTGACCTAGAACAAACACAGAATCACTTCAGAGGAATTAAGTAGTACCTCACTCAAAACGTACTCCGGCTATGCAAAACCATCTGCAGTCTCTACTCCTCGACAACAGAGTCGAACTCTACACTGACCGTGTAACATTGATAACGCAAAAGTGGTGTTGCTTTACTGGCAACCCAGTGATACCGTCCGTTAATCATCTCCAGACCGCGTCTCAAAGTCCATAGGAACGATGGCACCTGCGTCGAAAGACAGAAATCGTGTTGGTGCAAAAACCAAGTCGAGGAATGCGGACGGCGCACAGGAAATTTTCGAGTCACACCACCAAGAGATTCTTGGCGATCTTATTCACAAAAGACACGACCTTATGGACCCTCGAGAACTGAAACTTATCATTAGCATCCTCCCCTTCGGCTCGAAGTTCCTTGAACGCACATACACAGAGCTTCGGAAGAGGCAGCACGCATCTCGTCAAGATGACACGACACTAGGTCATCTGAATCAAACTGTCGCTCGGAGACCCACGGCATCGATTGATCACTCTACGACACGGATTGACGATTCTAGATCTATCAGATCTACTAGATCTATAAGAGCGAAGAAAAACATAATGCCTCCGCCGATTTCGACAACGGAGATACCATCAAGTTCTACGAGTTATTGAAAAAGAAGACGAACCTCAAAGTGGACAAATCTACTATACACGGTCAGGGCGTCTATGTTATGGAAAGTGTTCCTTCCGCTAAGTTCATCATCGAGTATGCTGGCGAAACTATACGTCAGGAAGTCGCCGACCTTCGCGAAATCGAGTACGTCAAGCAGGGAATCGAGTGCAGCTACCTTTTCGCCTTAGGCTACGACCAGGTTGTGGATGCAACGGAGGAGGGGAATGATTCCCGTTTTATCAATCATAGTTGTGCACCCAACTGTGCCACCAAGATCATCAACGTCGGAGGCACATTTAAGATCGTGTTCTATGCTCTAAAGGACATCGCTGCCTGTAAGCTCGAAGAGTTTCTTGATTCGGCCGCATCGCTGACTCTCGCATAGATACAGAGCTTACACTGCACTACAATTTCGAGCCCGACTCCAACAGCGATAGTCGAATTCGATGTCTCTATGGCTCCTTAGGTTGTGAAGGGTTTTTAGACTGAGACTCAAGGACAGTGAAGGAAGGCGTTCGTATGCACGAGTACCTAGAAGCGGACATCCCGCGAGGAAGCTCTATGTCGTTTTCGAATTCGGAGGCCTCATCAGATGTTTCAAGCTTGGCCAGAACTTGGCGCTGCCGATATGTGCGCAACGTATTGATGGCTTTCTGAACGTCGAGTCGACTATAGCCATATGGAAATTCGGTTCTGGGGGCCAGAACGTCAGTTCCTGATTGAGAGCCTATCGCGGATTGTTAGGACTAACACGATCGGAGACGTTCTGAAACAAGGCACTCGTCAGTTGTGCTTCTTCCGCGGCGCTTCTACAGCGATGCTTTTCGCACGGCATCGGTAGAGGAGACTGATTGACACTGGAGCTCTGCGATTCCGGACACATTCCTTACGAAAATAGCATCTTTCCACATGTTGTGCAATTCTGTGATTGATAGTCAATCGAATCTGGAGATTGTCAGCTTTTCGGGATCCGGTACTGCATCTCAGACTCTTGGAGATTTTGAAGTATATAGACTCGGCTCAGCCTACCACCAAGGCTTGCTGCAAGTCGACGCGCGACAGTTCAGCAAGCCGCAAAAACGGGTGTTGGGGTTGGCAGGTGCGAGCAGGATCTGCTCACTATGCCTGGAAGAATGTTTGTCCAGAGAGCTGAATGGTGGAAGATCACCCAATGTGTGTCTGTCGAAGTCATGCGCGGATTGAATTAATTGACTGATGTACTCAATAAGGATACCCGGTCCCAGTGGCGATAGTCATGCATGCAGAATAGCTATGATTCAGTTGTATCGATCCACCACCAACATTTTCCAATTTCTCGTCCTGTCCTCGGCGCAGCAGTTGGCTATGGAAGGACATAGTAGTCCCACTGGGCGTATATCCACATCAGAGATGTGGCAGCGACCGTAGCAGGTGCAGCGAGGCCAGTGCCCCACTCTGTAGATCCAAAGACAAGCCACTCAGACATGAAGTGGACAAAGGCCACAATGTATGTCAGTTCTCACGTGCTCTCCATGTTCATGCTCGGTGTTCGCGAGAGTATGTTTTACTCATATAGATAGAGAGCCTCGAGCATCTGTGCTCGATATCCGTGGCAATAGGTGTTGCTCGCACAAATGTTCGAGCCCTTGCAGGCCTCTTACATTTTTGCTCGGTAGTCGTTGGAAGGCGCGATCGGTGGCTTGCTACAAAACCAGCTCGGTCAACATCAGTTGACATTGTACCGGCGCTACTTTCAACGGTCGAGACTCAATCTGGACTACTCGTACACGTATATACCGCACTGACCATCGGCACCTTTGAACCTGACTTTTGGCTGTCGCGTCGTCCTTTCGTGCACGTGGGGCGGCCGGAAAAGGTGTAGTCAGCCCTATATGGTCTCTTCTCACTGGACGACTACTCTCTTCAGGACGCCCAGGTATATACGCATGCAGATGGGATGGGGCTACTACTGTACGCAAACTCGCACCGGCTTCCGCATATTAGCTATCGTACTCTTAAGCCTTGACTAAGCAGTCACATGGTGATTTTTCGAAATTCGTGGGGGTCCGGATTCTACTCCTCAACCACAGCTTGGTCAAGGGGAAAACTCCGGACCCTCGCCTTTCGTCCACCACTGTGAGCACCAAACTGAACAGAACGTGGACTGACAGCAGGATTGGAAAATAGAGGATCTTGCATTTGGAAGCTCTCTTGCGCAGTGGCAGTATCTCTCATCAGCAGCTCAAGCCGCAACATGAGATGATGCTGCCTTGACTTTTGCCGCTCGACGTCGCTCTTGCGGAAGAAATATGGTGTAAGCTGGTCCACTACATACACTGTCTGGTCTTCCAAGACGAACAAGAAGCATCGAATCGCTTTTCCTGAGTGCCGCCAGGAGACCTCGAAGATCACGTTTGGAGCTTTGTCTCTTTCGTCGAAGTGAAGAGTTCCACCGTCTGCAACACTAGCATGGCTCGGCGTGTACACTGACACTACTTCAACACAGGACTTCGTCGATCAAGGTCTAGCAGGAAGCTCTCTCTGTCTTCTCAAAGATCACGCCGCCCAATTTTGGAGCGAGAAATAACTTCCAATCCCGCGTGGCACTGAGATGACGCAGCTTCCTCCGTCTGATGATCATTATGAGAAGATTGGTAACGCAATCGCCCACAGTGAGTCCGGCCCCCGGGAGGTCAAGCACAAGCCGAATGCTGACCCCAAGCACTAGCTCTTAACTCTACCGTCTGGTCTTGTCGCCGAAAGACTACTGGAGAAAGCGCTCAGAGTGTGAACAAGTCTCGGGTCGTCGTCGTAAAGGTCCTGTGTCGAGACCGAGCCGAGGTGGAAAGGAATTGGCGCAAGACGGCAAAGGAGCTGACCTTGGAGGAATACACCGAGGAAGTGTCAGCATACGAAGCGAAGATCATGGAATCACTCAACCATAAACACATTGTTCGCTTCATCGACTGTCACGACGGAGGCACGACTTCTAACATGCTCATCATGAACATCTGCATGGAGAAGCTCGACTGCGATCTCAAGAGCTTCGTTGAAGACAACTCAGGGACTATCACCAAGACAGAATTCGCTAAGATGGCTCAGCAGATTTGCCTTGCCCTTCAATACCTGCACAAGCAGAAGCTGATTCATGGCGACCTCAAGCCTCAGAACATCCTCGTTGACAAGTCGAACAACAATATGCTGAAGCTTGGGGATTTTGGCAGTACAGTGGAGCTCGGCTCAGAAGAACGCTATGTCAGCGCCGTGAGTACTTAGACAGCTTCGAGTCAATCGACAGGGACTGACATGATCGGCNAGGACAATTTTGGCGGTACACCATTCTTCGTGGCTCCAGAGCTTCTCAAGGACGAAGCCAAGTGTGGTCGCGCGGTGGACTTCTGGGGCGTTGGTTGTGTCCTTGCCTTCATGGCTATCACTCATAACCCCTTCCAATTCTCAGCTGGAAGACTGATTATGGACCACGAAATCCTGGCAAACTATCGGGAATCCGAAGCTCGAAGTGATGATCGGCCGAGAATTATTCAGATACTCGGCATTCTCGCTACTTTGGGCTGGTAGTCTTTGGAAGGACAAGAGATATGGCACAAGGAGATTGCGTTGTTGGCGAGCGTAGAAGCCAACCTCCACATCGACATCCAACGCGAGTTCAAAGATGAACTTATTCTTAAGCTTGGTAGAGATGGCCTTGCCTTCGCTCAGTCTTGTCTAGCATTGGAGGCCGGCGAACGACCTGATGCAGCTGGTGCTCTGAACCACGTTTATCTCAAGTTTTAGGGTCTTTACATGGGATACCACACTATAGAGGCCACGCTTCTCCTACCTACAAGTAGCATAGGTAACAAAGTGAATGCGAAGTGTGCTTTTGCATACACAGTTATTCAATATCAGCTGACATCTTGGTCAAATTTCTTCCCGTCATTCCCCGATTGTCTGTATCGACTAGACCGGCCTTAGAGTCTACAACGATGGAGTCGTCGATGTTCAGTTTCCTGTATACCAGTCAGAAGAGTCATTCTACAGATCTCGCTTTCTGGGAACATGTCTCACCAGCACACTCGCATCATCAATCTGCCTCTGTCTCTCTCTCGAATCGTCCATGAATTCAATCACGCTGACTCCCTTTCGAAGAACATCAGCCAAGCAGCAACGCTAGTCATCAGGTATCACTGGGCTCGCTCATCATTAAGTCACAGCACCTGGAGCCTCAAAATGCAGCGACATCTATCAAGCAGCACCGGCTTCATACAATACTGGGTAGTATCGATGTTCGTCAAGCAGTAACATTGACCTCTGGCTGGTTTCATCGTAGGCAGACATCTACAGTTGAAATGCTTCTATGGAAGATAGAGAGGCTTGCATAGGTATCTACCAGCTTGCTTGTCTCATCGAATTCATCGACTTGGCATCATCTCTCTCTAGCAACCAACACATTATCCTTAATCCGATTCACTTCCGATCCGATGGCTCGTAGTAACATGTCTGCTTTCCATCGCCATGCTTGGATAGGTTCATACAGTGGTTAGCGAGAAACCAACAACAGTAGATTCGATGGACGACCAGGCTTCCAAGTCCCATCACGTGGCTGTCTGTCACAACCTCTAGCGTCCAAGGTGCGAAGTCGCGCAGCGATTCTAAACTCCACGACTCAGGGTCAAGGTGAGACCAAGGCTCATGGTGAGTGAGGCAGACCTGTCGTCAAAGAGTAGTCTCAAAAGGAGGGAGGATCAGAACTGGTCTTGAGGTTTCGCAAGTCGATTATCGCATTTTCGTGCTATGTTATCTGCTCAAAGACAGTTTATCTTGTTCTTCTGAAAGTTCGCTACGATAAGGTGGCCAACTTGTACGCGCATACTTTTCTCCGTCTTTTCGAGACTGGCGACTCCAGGTTTGATATCTCCAAGAGTCAATTGTTTGACGTTCTCGAGTACCGGTGCATTTGGCTCAATCAAACCCTCCGAATCAAGCTTGCCGACGAGCTCGATAGAGCTGAGTCCTAGGCAATGTATCGAGATCGAATCGTATAGATGATTCCCACGGTGATACCCATGCACATTGATGGAAGGATGTTCTAGAGCGGTAAGCCTAGAGAACATGTCCGATGCATCTGCTCTTGTGAACTTGTTGTCGTGTTAAGAGAATTGTAGCTCTTGAGGATGCGCCTCGCTCATGCAGTAGGGATGAAATGAAGTACCGATCTTGAGTGACTTAAGCTGGCTAAGAAAACCGAGGGGGATAAAGGCTCTCGCTGGTAGACTTTCGTCGTATTCAACCGCACTACGGCACCCCATGATCTCGAGGCTCTGTAGCTGAGACATTTTCGCGATGGGTTCGAGTATGGATCTGTCTCTACGGCTTGTTGATATCTCCAACCGTAGCCACGTGACAGCAGGAAAGCATTGTGGGATCAAGGAAACGGCTTCTCCTTCCAGGTGGTGCAACTCCAGACGTTCGAGATATCGAAACGGCTTCGCAACGGCATGGAGGAAGTCTTGTAACTAGACAGCCTTAGTCCACCTATGCTTATTCTCCTCATCTACAAAGGCCAGGCTCTCGAGGCATCCTCCATCATGAGATAGAGCAATTAGCAGATCGCAAGTAAGCATCCGTNNGGTAAGTTGCGTCCCAAAGTCGAGAGACACCGCCTGGGGCTGGATGCATCGAAAGAAACTTGTAAGATCCGATGGCTCGATAGGTGTGTTCGGGACCCAGAATGAGATTTGTTTAAGGTTAGGACATCTCCTAGCGACGTCGGTCAGGAATGAGGCCGTGAGCTAGTTGGTTCCATTTTCGACGTTGTCGTACGTCCGGTCAAGCAGCTTCAGACTTTGATGTGTAGGCTGCAGGTACCTTGAAAGTTGGAACTCTCGGAACTTCTGACGGATCTCTTTATCGGCATTGTGGAGGATGACTTCTTTCAACCTCGGGAACTTCAATCCTCCAAACTTCGCATGCACCAAACTACCACCGTAATCTGTAAAGTCAACCACGCCCACTCGAGATGCATACCTTNNCGAGAGACCTGCGATGGCCCTGGTTCTCATCCTGTTATCCTCGCACAGAGTTCGGGGGCAGCCGAACCAAAGTGCGTTCAGTGCGAGGTCGGTCCATGTGCGGTGTACACCAGCGCAGCGCGCCAGATCCGCGTCGCATCTGTCTTCGCGTAGGCACATGAAGACGTTCATCTTAAGTTCGACGACATCCCACAATGCAGCAACGGCCATCGCTGAGGATTTGATGTTCTTGTGGAAGAATGTTGGTCCGTTTCCGTCGACAACGAAGAATCGTTAGAGGTGATAGGGGCAAAAGCGTGGGTCTCCAAGGGAGGTGGAACTGAGTGGTGTCGTTCATCTGTCCGGCTGCTGCTTTCTCTATTCATCCAGCCTTTAGCACGTTACTCAACATTGGCAATTCTTTCTGAACCTCGGTCAAGATCGCCAAACAAGATCCCTGCTCATGAATAGCCAGCCTGAGATCTCGGCGACTTTCTACGATCGTAGTGAAGATCGCTAAGCAAAAATTACGGATGAGAAAGGAGGTTGTCAAGCAAGCAGAGCTGCGGAGGACATGTCGTAAAAGTAGAGTTTTCCGACTCATGATCGCAAAACTCTAAGAGATCCATCCTCCGGGCTGTTTGTGACACATGGTTAGAGATAACCCCGCTAGTAGCGTATAGCGTCATCGTTCAGGAGTGAGTAACTTTTTGAATCCTTGGCAACCAATCACTAAGGATTTCCCGCCAACCGACTGAGAGAACGAAACCATCGCGCCTCGCATTTTTTCCCTGCCGACTGTCCTGTGGTGGGCCGAATGCTTATACACATACTATCTAGGCGATGCTCCATCTTCATCTCTCTTTCTGTCTTTCTCTTTCCCTCCCTCCGAGTTGGGGCTGCTCTCAAAGCTCGGTCAGGTGGTTCGGGGTCGTTGTGGTCCGCTTCGGAGCCGCATGACCGTCGACTAGTAAGGAGCTAGTATTCGGAAGCAGGATATGATCTCGAAGTCTAGCCACACTCTCGAAGTGCTTTCTGGGCCTGTAGAGGTTGTCGCCGTTCAATGTTTCCTAAGAGACCACATGTCAGCGTCCAGCTCAGCTAGGTTGATTCGTTAGGAATGGATGGCAGCCCCGAAACGATCGTCCTTGCTAGTCGGCCTTGCTCGTATCTCTGGCGGGTCGGGACTGCCCCTAAAGCCTGGTTGGCTGGTATGGACCGTATAACATGTCTGACCGGTCACTAAGGGGGAGGTCATCTTTTGAGTGGCACACTCAAAGTACTTCTAGGAATTCGTAGAGTTCATCGTGGTTACCAATCGCGAGTCTGGTTTCGCACCAGACTTCACGAGCGGGCTAGCCTGCTTGAGTCGTAGGCGCCGTGACAAACTCTGTCTTTCGATCTTTCTATCGTTAGTGGTTTTTGTCAGTCTTCTCTTGGGAAAGAGTCAAGGCTTCTCTTTCCAAGCCTAGGAGGGTGGGCACGCTTTAAGCGTGGGGCTCTTGACTTTTCTGGCTGTGCTATAGCTGCCCGACGATCGTCTTCTGCTTTAGCCTAAACATCTATACTTAGCTGATAGTTGTCTGTTGACAGTTGCATCTCGCCGTCTTTCTATGGCATCGAGAACTCTCATCTATGGTAGATCTCCCTTTAGAGTGAGTGCGCATCTTGATAATGGCTCGATATGCGCCAATATCACATGGATTCTGGTAAGAGAGCCGTAAAGTCTCGTTCGTTCACAGTTCATCCAGATAGGTCTTGCACCTGAGCTCCAGTCTGGCGTGCTTGCTTTAGCAAAGCCAGACTCGTCAAACTCGTGATTTCATGGGCTAGGACTGTCGCATCACGTCTCACATCTAGGGAGCGTAGGCAGCTAGTATTCGAGACGCATGAAAACCAACTCTGCGCCACGATATGTGAAAGACTCGTCGAGCGGAACCTTCGGCCGAGTGATCACCTAGAACATCGAGTAACCCTACTCTGGAATACTCGTAGCAGACGCCACGCGGTGCTGAAGATGTCCGCGAGGGGGTCAGATGTGAGATTTGTTCATCTCGAACAGCGGCATGTACAGGCTGCAGCCGACACGAATAATAAGATTGGGAATTGCGGTACTTGCTTTCACCACGATCGACGCTCTCACCATACGAAGTGGAACGTTTGAATGTATCAGACATCTTGATTTTAGTACTTCATTATATGTATCTCGTGTGATTCTCGGCTTCCTCGATCATTCCAACGATCAGGAATCCCTGCTTCACAACACCCATTGATGTTGCATGACCAGTTCCGATCGACTGCCACCGACCGATCTGAAGTAAACCTGCTAGACTTCTAGTCTTCCACCTCGCACACTCGCTCAAAGAAGCACGAACCGTTGATGTTCATGTTGACAGGGCTTGCGTGATAACTTCTAGCGCACCAAGGTGTACAGCGCCGTGTCATGTTACTACCGTTAGAGCTCCGCTTTAGACAGGGACACTTATAAGGTATACATCTTGATCTGCCGTCACTGTGACACTTGCAACCAAAGTCGGCCTTCGCCTTATCTCTCTACTCCTTTAAGCCCCGTAGAAGACGAGGAAGGTACTTAGGAAAGCCGCCAATGGTAAACAGTCTGTGATCTTCTGGATGCTTGCTGATGTAGTCAATGATGGCATCAAGTATGATCGGTAGCTGTAAAGCAGGCACTGCCTCGTTAGTGCTATCTAGGTCTTCAATAAGCCCGCGGATCAAGTGCAGCTGAGGGATCAAGCAGTGGCCATCGAGATGTTGTCCCCTAACCATCAGAGAAGGCCCTTCTAGCGTAAGGACTGCGTGCTTGACTCGCACACCTGCAGGTATTAATAGCCAGTCTCCAGGTTCCAGTATAACGACAGCAGGCGGGCCCTCATCATCAATCAAGCTCATGAACCATGCTTTCTTTCTAGTAAGACACTGTACCTAGGTGTTGTTAAGTAAGTCTTCATGCCAGGTAGAAAATGCCATTGCTGAAGCTAGCAGCATGAATGTAGCGCAAGACTCCATGTCGGCCGCACGAATGGAGCTTTCGGCAGGTTCAGCCTCGGTAGTGCTCTGTTTGCTAGCCTTAGCCTTGACGTTTGCTTCATGTGCTTAGTGGCTTCGCATGGCCTCGACGATAGTGAAGCGTCTATGTTGCATGGCCGTAGGAACGCCTATGTACGGATGAAAGGCTGCGATGTCTAGGCAGTTTAGAGGCTCGAAGTTCAGCGGTTCTCTAGGATCGGGCTCGCTGTCTAGGCGCTGTAATACCTCAGCAAGCTTCATGCTTCTAGTAGAGCCGGTTCCGGGTCTGGCTTGAACCGCAAGTTCTCCATCTAGCGTGTACTTCTGTTCTAATAAACATAGGAAGTCCTTCAAGCTGTAGAAATGCTCTTTGAGCGAACAACAACAGGTTTTCGCAAACGTACTCCGAGATCCATGAGTTCACATGCCTGTAAGTCCGTGAGACTCTAGACATCGGCACTGGTGCAGGCATCCTAGGCTAGATCGAAAGATTCTCGCGTTAGGCGACTTAGAGCCTTACACTCTGTGGCCAGTCTGTGTCCATCCTCGGACACTAACGCCTTGACCTCCTCGAAAGAGGCAAGCTCGTACTAGAGATGGTCAGACTCCTAGGCCATGTCCTAGTCGTGTGCCTGTTCGATCTATGCGCTAACAAATTCGGCTGTCTTCTCGAATAGAGCCGCCGCCTGGTGACATGAAGCCTTGTAGGCTTCCCTTTCGGACTTAGACATGTACTCTAGACCGGTCTAGGAATCTGATGCTCGTGAACGGGTATCACGACGATTATTCTCCTCTGGTAGCTCGTCGTGGTCATCCTCTTCTCGCTCCTCATCCATGTCCTTAGTAATCTGCTCCTCTCTATGGTTGTTTGTGGCAGGATGTGTATGCTTTGCTTTCTTGCGAATGGAGCCTATCGTCTAGCTACCCCGGGTACGCTTCTGAGGAGCATTAGCCATAGTACGAATGTTTGGAACCGAGAGTGTACGCGATGAGGTGGCCATTTAGGCTGCAGAGTGTGCAGTCTGTGCAGATATGCGAGCTAATATCCGTGAAGGGGCATTTTCTGTCCGAGCTTAGGCAGCGTGATTCTGGATCGTAGCCCTAGCCTGTTCCGGAGCCGCAATTTGCAGTCGTTCCGAAAAAGAAGGTGCGATCAGACTAGGGTGAGCTTCTCTCCACATCCGAAGGTCCGAAGTGATCGTGTCACGCACTGCCTCCTAGCACCTGATTGGATCCACAACACCAAAGCGATCAAACTCTATTAAGAAATGTTGACGGAGGTCGTCGTCCTAAAAGGGATCTACTCGAGGGGTGTCAATTTCACACTTTTTGATGTCCGCGGGAGTGAAGTATTTGTTCATCGATTGTTTTGCCAACGCCTCCTAGTCGTTGGCTTCATAATGGTGTAGAAAAAGTGCTTTCTCAAAAGTGGCAGCACAATTGACTATTATTTTTGGTTCTATATAAGCGTCCAAAAGTTGCACTAGAATCTGTCTCCGTTCTCGAAGAAGCCGTATGCTATCGCGAACTCGAGGAAGTCACCGCTGTGTGGTTTAGACACCTCTTCCGTGTCTTTGGATGTGGCTAGGATCATACGCTGTCGGTATGCGCGGGTCTTGTTGTTTCTCCGTTCAGACTCGACTACTTTGTTATGCTCGATGAAATCACTTCTTTGAAGGTCAGACTTAAGCGCATATTCCAGATCTTGACGTAGATTCTCGGGAACCAGATAATCGAAGACGGTCTAGCATAAGGCCGTCCTAGCCAACGCCTCTTGTTTGACGGCTTCCCGTGCTGCAGTCGTGCACGATACCAGATCGCGCTGCAGCTTTGCAATCTTGAACACGCTGCTCTTACGGACTGCATCTTATAATTGCCTATGCAAGTCTAGAAGTGTTAGCCAATTGAGTTTAGTGATAGCCGGCTCTTCTAGATCGGGTGTCGTGTCTGAGATATGCGACGCCGATGCGGCAAGTGAATCAGTCTGCTGCCAACTAGATATGGGCCTATGCGGAATCAAGGCATGTGATGAGTTGTCGGAGGCTTGCAAGTCCTGGTGGGTCGTCATGTTTGTGGTCTTGTGGACAGTTTGCAAACGCTAGGAAGTTCGAATAATGCTGGTGGAAATGATCGTGTTACAATGCGCGAGGGTCGGACGATTTGGTGAATGTTCGTCTAACGGACTGCATTGCTCTGTTAACACAATCAATACGACAGCAAACAGCGCGCGCGATGGGAAAACTGTCGATTTCGATTACTAGCGGATGGAGAAGTCTTTCACCTGTTATTGAGAAACCCATCAATCAGCTTCTCCTTCGTCGACATTCAGATATTCTTTTGCGTGTAACGGAATTGACTTTCAGGCCGTTTGCGGTGGTCGTGAGCGCGGAATTACGACGCGACGATAGCAGGTTGAGACGAGACACGTGGTCAGTGCGCAGCCCCACACGCGTCCATCCGTCTGTATGTGGGTCTGACTAGCGTGCACAGGCCCACGTCAAAGCGAGCCATGTAAGAGCAGATTGTGAAGAAACCTTCTCGGCAGATGTGCCGGCGCCCAGTTCTAACGGTCTCGGTAAAGACAGGTCGGTTCGGACCTCTCCGAAAGTAGGTATCTCTCAAAGCCCAGCTCCGACGCCGGCAAAAATGCGGTAGCAGTACAATCACCCGAACATGAGGCGGAATGAGAAGAAAAATTATAGGGAAGTGAGATGATCAGGGACCGACATCTCCCCGTCGGGCCATCACTTGCCTAGCCGATAGGTCTAGAGGTAGGAGTCTGGAATGTCTTCATTCGCCAGGTCCTCACAACACGGAGAAAGTTAGCTTCATGTGGATACGATCCCAATTGGCGGACTCATACTGCACAATCCTGGTCGTTGACCAAGAACATCTACCGAGGCGCATTCGGGTGGCGTCAAGTCTTGCAATAAGTTGATTTAGGATATGGATGCGTATACATCGAGCTAGTTTGCAACGATATATCTTCGATGACTATGTAAATAGCTTATCGGCTTTTTTTTCTCGGATGGTCGACGTCAATATTAGGAAAAGAATCCTCCTGTATTCGTCAGTCTCTTCTGGGTCGTGCTTGCCCCTTTGTGTTGTTGTGCTTCGCAACATGCTCTCCTTCCCATGCATATTCAAGATGTAGTTCTCAGCGCCGTTCTTATCGACAGGTATCACGCGTTACTACAACACTGTGTTTTACGAAAGTTGATTACAAGCGAAACAATGCTTTGGAGAGAGTCCTCTACGTTCGCTCCTTTTCGATCCTCTTCTCAGAGAATTCTTGCTGGCAAGCTCTTTCCTCTTCAGCACGGTCTGCTGTTTCCTATCGAGTCTAGATTGAGACGCTTGCAGAAGAAAGGAGCAAGAATCTGCAACTTGTTTGTGCTTTTAACAACTTTCTCTGTGATGGCCAGACTTCCTTTTGTTTGTGTTTCCATATCTCTTTGGCGTACCATGATCCTTCTTTTCTCGAATTTTTCCTGTTGCACATATCTCCAACGATCGTTACCGATCAGCACGGTCGGTCGGGTGTCCGTGATCTGTGAGCAGGGTGACGCGTTGCTGTGTAGGTTGTTCGCGAGCGAATCTTCTACTCGAAGTCTGCTCTGACCACGCCGTAAACAATACCGTCAACTCTGAGATCGAAGCAAAGGGAACCTGGGAGAAGAAAGGCATTAGCACGGCTGTAGCTCAGAAATTTGTTTCGGCAATCCACTTACCACTCTGGACAGTGAGGCCGATTTGGAAGCTAAGCTTGCGGTAGCGAATGTTTCTGCTGTTGGTGCAGAGCTGGTAGTAGCGACGAGGAACACCATCCAGGTCCACCTCGAGATGACAGAGAATGCGAGTTTCGGGGACAGCTCATACCCCTCGGGGACATCGGTAGCGTCGCTGACGATGATTTCAGCGCCGCAGGACTCTGGGAATCCTTCACTGTATGGCCAAGTACGGTAGAAGGTGATCAGAATAGGCTGATCAAAAGGCAGGTCAGCATTTTTCTTGATGTGACACGAGTTCTGGTTTTTGGCCTTGTAATTTAGCTCCTGATTGTCCCAGTACTTGTTGTTCTCTGAATGCCTGCCGTTGACGAAAACATGACAGACCCTGATGCCGTAGTGGCGACGAGCTTTGGGGCTTAGAACAAGCTTTCGCTGCAGGCTAGACAAGACTGCACCTCGGACAACAGCAGTCCAGGCATTGACGGGCTGTAGGACGACAAAGCTTGTCTCTGGGTCTGGCACGGACTCATCAGCTGCCTGCGTGTACTGAGGTGGGGATCCTCGTCGGCAAAGCGAGACTTGAGACACTTGTAGAGAAAATTCGACGTGCCAAAGCCTCCGACTGGAACAACTCCCTTAGCAGTCTTGCCATAAGCTGCAAGCACGTTGCGTTGCCTCTCCACGAGATCAATGACAGATGAGACGAGTGGCCTGCACAACTCTCCGACCTCGGCTGTCGACAACGTGATGAATCCGCAATCAATGCCGGCAGAGATGTCATCTTCAGCACCTGGAAGGGGAACATTGAACTTGTTATCATCATACTCCGCTTGAGAATCCATGGGATCGAAATTCTTCTTGACGTAGTCCTCGAAGTACTTGAGAGCGATCGCCCAAGATCTCGGCTTGCGGCTGCGGAGTTGGTTGAAAGCTGCAGTGCCCATGCGAGATTTTACAAGCTCCTGGAATCTCAAATTAAGGAAGGCACCTCCACAGAGAGCGCCAGTGCCAGGAGCGGACTCCTCAAGGGTCAGAGGTGATTTGGAGCGAACTTCGAATGAAGCCAAATCAGTGGTCCCCCACCAGCGTCACAGACAATGAAATTGTCTCCGACTTGTAGCACGTTGCTGTCTTCGGCCATTACAGTCAGGGCGTAGATAGCGGCAGCCTCGGGCTCACTGATCATGCGGAGGTTGGATCCCATGCCCGCCTTTTGGGCGACCCTAAAGGTAGTATCCTTCGCAGTATCGCTCCAGATTGCAGGTACGGTGAGGGTAATCTCGATGGGTGTAGACGAGACCATTTGCGGGCCAAAGCGCTTGACCAGCTCACTGGCAAAGGCGATTTTCTCGTTGATCATAGTGAGCTTGAGGTCGATGCGTTGCTGGTCGAAGGGCGATTCGGCACGGCGAAGACATGCAAAACGGCTGGTCTCGATAGGAGTGGTATCGTCGGTGGGAGCCGCAGCAGCGCAGCCACGGCCGGTGTGAGCAGGGCACGCGGTCTTTGCCTGAGGCTGGCGAGCGGAGGTTTGGGAGGGTGACATGATTGGCTATGTGCGCCGTCAGCTGATGAATTCGACAAGGCAGTTGTAAGGACAAATCTGACAGAGGCAGCGTGTTACACTCAGGCAGAAGTGGATTGGAAGCGAAGCGCAGAGAAGAAGTTGCTCGGGTGAGACGTATAAACGTAGCCGGACTTTGCTCGGTGCGCGTAAGAGTGATTGAGGAACTGGAGCGAACCCTGGAAGCGCTCACACGAGCACTTGGACGCGTCTTGGCGCAGAGTGAGTAATCGAGCGTAACGCCGTCAGTACCTCGTAACAACAACGACTATCGAAAGAACGACTATTAGGGCGGAGGAGACGGTAACGAAAATGGTCGACATGATGAGAGCGAAGTGTCAGATTCAGACGAACCATGCTTCACATCTTGCTTACCCTTGCGAGAGAGACGCTTCTTATCTTGCACTTAGTGAACATCTGCGTCAAGCAGAAGAGAAAGTCTTAGGGGTCAATCTCTGATCAATGGTTGTCCTGAGGAGAGGCAAGAAAGTGTGCCGAACAGTGCGAAGGAGCCACTTCTATCTAGAGAGAGCAAAGGTCGCATCGATTATCCAAAGTATCTGCGACAACTGTTCACGAGGCATGAAAGCCTAATCAGTCATTCGGTCAACACATGTGATAGACCGACCGAAGGACGTCGTCCAGGGGGCGCCAAGCTCGCAGACAGCACGGCCTGTGCACGCGGGTCAGACCCACATACAGACGAGTGAGCGCGTGTGGGGCTGCGCACTGACCACGTGTCTCGTCTCAACCTGCTGTTGTCGCGTCGTAATTCCGCGCTTACGACCACCGCAAACGGCCTGAAAGTCAATTCCGTTACACGCAAAAGAATATCTGAATGTCGACGAAGGAGAAGCTGATTGATGGGTTTCTCAATAACAGGTGAAAGACTTCTCCATCCGCTAGTAATCGAAATCGACAGTTTTCCCATCGCGCGCTGTTTGCTGTCGTATTGATTGTGTTAACAGAGCAATGCAGTCCGTTGGACGAACATTCACCAAATCGTCCGACCCTCGCGCATTATAACACGATCATTTCCACCAGCATTATTCGAACTTCCTAGCGTTTGCAAACTGTCCATAAGACTACAAACATGACGACCTACCAGGACTTGCAAGCCTCCGACAACTCATCACATGCCTTAATTCCGCATAGGCCTATATCTAGTTGGCAGCAGACTGATTCACTTGCCGCATCGGCGTCGCATATCTCAGATACGACACCTGATCTAGAAGAGCCGGCCATCACTGAACTCAATTGGCTAACACTTCTAGACTTGCATAGGCAATTATAAGATGCAGTCCGTGAGAGCAGCGTGTTTAAGATTGCAAAGCTGCAGCGCGATCTGGTATCGTGCACGACTGCAGCACGGGAAGCCGTCAAACAAGAGGCGTTGGCTAGGACGGCCTTATGCTAGACCGTCTTCGATTATCTGGTTCCCGAGAATCTACGTCAAGATCTGGAATATGCGCTTAAGTCTGACCTTCAAAGAAGTGATTTCATCGAGCATAACAAAGTAGTCGAGTCTGAACGGAGAAACAACAAGACCCGCGCATACCGACAGCGTATGATCCTAGCCACATCCAAAGACACGGAAGAGGTGTCTAAACCACATAGCGGTGACTTCCTCGAGTTCGCGATGGCATACGGCTTCTTCGAGAACGGAGACAGATTCTGGTGCAACTTTTGGACGCTTACATAGAACCAAAAATAATAGTCAATTGTGCTGCCACTTTTGAGAAAGCACTTTTTCTACACCTATTGTGAAGCTAACGACTGGGAGGCGTTGGCAAAACAATCGATGAACAAATACTTCACTCCCGCGGACATCAAAAAGTGTGAAATTGACACCCCTCGAGTGGATCCCTTTTAGGACGACGACCTCCGTCAACATTTCTCAATGGAGTTTGATCGCTTTGGTGTTGTGGATCCAATCAGGTGCTGGGAGGTAGTGCGTGACACGATCACTTCGGACCTTCGGATGTGGAGAGAAGCTCACCCTGGTCTGATCGCACCTTCTTTTTCGGAACGACTGTAAATTGCGGCTCCGGAACAGGCTAGGGCTACGATCCAGAATCACGCTGCCTAAGCTCGGACAGAAAATGCCCCTTTATGGATATCAGCTCGCATATCTGCACAGACTGCACACTCTGCAGCCTAAATGGCCACCTCATCGCGTACACTCTCGGTTCTAAACATTCGTACTGTGGCTAATGCTCCTTAGAAGCGTACCCGGGGTAGCTAGACGACAGGCTCCATTCGCAAGAAAGCAAAGCATACACATCCTGCTACAAACAACCATGGAGAGGAGCAGATTACTAAGGACATGGATGAGGAGCGAGAAGAGGATGACTACGACGAGCTACCAGAGGAGAATAATCGTCGTGATACCCGTTCACGAGCATCAGATTCCTAGACCGGTCTGGAGTACATGTCTAAGTCCGAAAGGGAAGCCTACAAGGCTTCATGTCACTAGGCGGCGGCTCTATTCGAGAAGACAGCCGAATTTGTTGGCGCATGGATCGAATAGGCACACGACCAGGACATGGCCTAGGAGTCTGACCATCTCCAGTACGAGCTTGCCTCTTTCGAGGAGGTCAAGGCGTTGGTGTCCGAGGATGGACACAGACTGGCCACAGAGTGTAAGGCTCCAAGTCGCCTGACGCGAGAATCTTTCGATCTAGCCTAGGATGCCTATACTAGTGCCGATGTCTGAGTCTTACGGACTTACAGGCATGTGAACTCATGGATCTCGGAGTGCGTTTGCGAAAACCTGTTGTTGTTCGCTCAAAAGAGCATTTCTGCAGCTTGAAGGACTTCCTGTGTTTATTAGAACAGAAGTACACGCTGGATGGAGAACTTGCGGTGCAAGACAGACCTGGAACCGGCTCTACTAGAAACATGAAGCTTGCTAAGGTATTATAGCGCCTAGACAGCGAGCCCGATCCTAGAGAACCGCTAAACTTCGAGCCTCTGAACTGCCTGGACATCGCAGCCTTTCATCCGTACATAGGCGTTCCTGCGGCTATGTAACACAGACGCTTCACTATCGTCGAGGCCATGCGAAGCCACCAAGCACATGAAGCAAACGTTAAGGCTAAGGCTGGCAAACAGAGCACTACCGAGGCTGAACCTGCCGAAAGCTCCATTCGTGCGGCCGACATGGAGTCTTGCGCTGCATTTATGCTGCTAGCTTTAGCAATGGCATTTTCTACCTGGCATGAAGACTTACTTAACAACACCTAGGTACAGTGTCTTACTGGAAAGAAAGCATGGTTTATGAGCTTGATTGATGATGAGGGCCCGCCTGCTGTCGTTATACTGGAACCTGGAGACTGGCTATTGATACCTGCAGGTGTGCGAGTTAAGCACGCAGTCCTTACGCTAGAAGGGCCTTCTCTGATGGTTAGGGGACAACATCTCGATGGCTACTGCTTGATCCCTTAGCTGCACTTGATCCGCGGGCTTATTAAAGACCTAGATAGCACTAACGAGGCAGTGCCTGCTTTACAGCTACCGATCATACTTGATGCTATGATTGACTACATCAGCAAGCATCCAGAAGATCACAGACTGTTTACCATTGGCGGCTTTCCTAAGCACCTTCCTCGTCTTTTACGGGGCTTGAAGGAGTGGAGAGACAAGGCGAAGGCCGACTTTGGTTGCAAGTGTTACAGTGACGGCAAATCAAGATGCATACCTTATAAGTGTCCCTGTCTAAAGCGGAGCTCTAACGGTGGTAACATGACACGGCGCTGTACACCTTGGTGCGCTGGAAGTTATCACGCAAACCCTGTCAACATAAACATCAACGGTTCGTGCTTCTTTGAGCGAGTGTGCGAGGTGGAAGACTAGAAGTCTAGCAGGTTTACTTTAGATCGGTGGCAGTCAATCGGAGCTGGCCTTTTATGGTCTATGCGCGCTGTGGACTTGAGACTGCTGATCGTTGGATGAATCAAGGAAGTCGAGGCACATACCAAACACATGTCATGAAGTAGTAAAATTAAGACGTTTGATACATTGAGACCTTCACTCCGTATTAGGGAGCCTCGATCGCGGTAAAAGCAAGTACCTTAATTCCCAATCTTATCATTCGTGTCGACTGCAGCCTGTACATACCAGTGTTTGAGATGAACAAATCTCATAGCTGGCCCCCTCGCGGACATCTTCAGCACCGCGTGGCGCCTGCGGCTAGCTTTCTAGTCTAAGGTTACTCAATGTTCCGTGTAACCACTCGTTTGCAGCTTCCGCTCGACGAGTCCTTCATGTATCGTGGCGAGGAGTTAGTTTCCTTGCACCTCGAATATGAGCTACGACTGGAGGTCAGGTGCAAGACCTATGTGGATGAACTGTGAATGAACGAGACTTGACGGAACACGGGTACGTTCGACTCAAGGTGAGGGTTGGATATCATGCTACAGGAGCGTTGCTCTTATACCCAGATCCATGTGATATTGGCACCATGTCGAGCCGTCATCAAGATGCGCACTCACTTTAAAGGGAGCTTTACCATAGATGAGAGTTCTCGATGCTATACAAGGACGGCAAGATACGTCTGTCTGTAAACAACTGTTAGCTGGAGATAAGTATATAGGCTGAAGTAGAAGATGATCGTCGAGCAGCTGTTAGACAGCTAGAAAAGTCAAGAGCTCCACGCTCTAAGCGTACCTATCCTCCTAGACTTGGAAAGAGAAGCCTTACTCTTTCGCGAGAGAAGACTGACAAAAAGCACTAACAGTAGTAGAATCGAAAGACAGAGTTGGTCACAGCGCCTACGCCTTAGGCAGGCTGACCTGCTCGTGGAGTCTGGTGCAAAACCAGTCTCGCGGTTGGTAACCACAATGGACTCCACGAATTACTAGAAGTACTTTGAGTGTACGACTCAAAAGATGGCCTCCTTTCAGTAACCAGCCATGTTATATGGTCCTTGCTAACCAACCAGGCTTCGGGAGCAGTCCTGATTCGCCGGAGATACGAAAGTAAGGCCGACTAGCAAGAACGATCGGTCCGGAGCCGGCATTCGTTCCTAACAGATCAGCCTAGCTGAAGTGCACACTGACATGTGGCTTGTAGGCAAACCTTTAGCGGCGACAACCTCTACAGACACTGCAAGCACTTCGAGAGTGCGAATAAACTCTGAGATGGTGGCCTGCTTTCGAGCACTAGCTCCTTACTGGTTGACGCTTATGCGGCTCTAAAGCGGACCACACCTCCCTAAACCGCCCGACTGAGCGTTGAAAGCACCTCTAACTCGGATGGAGGGAAGGCGAAAGACAGAAAGAGAGATGAAGATGGGTCGTCACCTGGGTAGTATACGTATGGACATTTGGCCCACTACAAGTCAGATCGTGGATAGTAGGCAAGGGAATAATACGAGGCGCGATGGCGAGTGGGAAAATGCTCTATTTTCGTTCTCTTAGTCGGTTGGCGAGAGATTCTTGGAAACTGGTCGCCAAGGATTTAAAAGAGTCATCCACTACTGAACGATGACGCTATAAGCACCTAGCGGGGTTGTTCCAACTAGTGACGTGTCACAAACGGCCCGGGTCCCCTGGAATTTTGCGACCATTAGTCGGAAAAACTCTACTTCTACGACATGTCCTCCGCAGCTCTGCTTGCTTGACAACCTCCTTTCTTATCCGTGATCTTTGCTTAGCGACCCTCACTACAATCGTAGAAAGTCGCCGAGATTCTAGGCTGGCTATTGATGTTCAGGCACCATGCTTGGCGATCTCGACTGAAGTTCAGCCAGAATTGCCAAGATTTTCTGGAAGAAAAGGGGACAACCCTGCCGTTCTTTCTGCAGCAGTTATTTTCCACTCTTCTATCTTCCAGTTCCTGTTGATCAGATATGTTCTTGTGTAAATGATAATTGTACCTGCTCCTGCTATCGAGTGATTTGCTAAAGGCTGGATAAATAGAGAGAGCAAGCAGGTTGGGATTATCTTGGCGCTAGATATAAAGTCATGCAGCCGGGCGGAAGAATGCACCCGACTTCCCTGGAATCGCAGACTTGTGCCCCCACCACATTTAACAATCCTTTGTTGTCGATGGAAACGGACCGATAGTCTCCCATGAGAATATCAACCCTCTGTGATGGCCGTTGCTGCGTTTTGGGATGTCGGCGAACTTAAGCTGAACGTCTTCATGTGTCTACGCGAAGACATATGCGACGCGGACCTGGCGCGCTGCGCTCGTGTACACCGCACATGGACCAACCTTACACTAAACGCACTATGGTTCGGCTACCCCCGAACATCGTGCGAGGATAACAGGACGAGAGCCAGGGCTATCGCAGGTCTCCCAACGGATCTTCGTCAGGGTTATGCCTCTCGAGTAGGCGTGCTTGACTTTACAGATTACGGTGGGAGTTCTGTCCATGCGAAATTCGAAGGATTGAACTTTCCGAGGTTGAAAGAAGTCATCCTCCACAATATCGATAAAGAGGCTCGTCAAAAGTTCCGAGAGTTCCAACTTTCAAGATACCTGCAGCCTACACTGCAAAGTCTGAAGCTGCTTGACCAAACGTACGACAACGTCGAAAATGGAACCAACTGGCTCACGGCCTCATTCCTGACCGACGTCGCTAGGAGATGTCCTGACCTCAAACAAATTTCATTCTGGGTCCCGAACACACCTATCGAGCCATCGGATCATACAAGTTTCTTTCGAAGCATCAAACCTCAAGAGGTGTCTCTCGACTTACCACGCATGCTTACTTGCGACCTGCTATCCGCTCTGTCTCATGATGGAGGATGTCTCGAGAGCCTGGCCATTGTAGATGAGGAGGACAATCATAGGAGGATCAAGCCTGCCTAGATACAAGGCCTCCTCCATGCTGTCGCGAAGCCGTTTCCATATCTAAAACGTCTGGAGTTGTACCACCTGGAGGAAGAAGCCGTGTCGTCGATCCCAAAATGCTTTCCTGCTGTCACGTGGCTACGTTTAGAATTAGCAACAAGCCGTGGAGACAAATCCATCCTCGAACCCATTAGGGAGATGTCTCAGCTATAGAGCCTCGAGATCACAGGATGCCGTGGTGCGGTCGGATACGACGAGAGTCTACCGTCGAGAGCCTTTATCCCCCTCGGTTCACTTACCCAGCTTAAGTCACTCAAGATTGGTACTTTGTTCCGTCCCTACTGCATGAGCGAGGCGGAATCCCAAGAGCCACAATTCTTCCACCATGACGACAAGTTCACGAGAGCAGATGCATCGGACATGTTTTCTAGGCTTACCGCTCTAGAACATCTTTCTATTAACGCGTATGGGCATCACCGTGAGAGACATCTATACGATTCGATCTCGATATACTGCGCAGGTCTCAGCTCTATCGAGCTCGTTGGCAAGCTTGACCCGCAGGATTTGATTCAAACACATGCACCCGTTCTTGAAAACGTCAAACAATTGACCCTTGGAGATATTAAACCTGGAGTCGCCAGTCCTCAAGTGGCAAGGATACTCGACAACTTTGTGCCTAATCTAGAAAGACTACTATTCAAGGGTGAACGTGCCCGATCGGAAGATATCCTTAAAGCATGGATGATGATTCGAAGGATGCAGTAGCTGTTCAAAGTTAGCGAAGGTGATAACTTCCTGCTTGAGAACTTGGTTGCATAAGCAGATTGATTGGCCCTCTCAAGATTGTGTAGTGCCAAAAGCAGGCGATTCTTCTACTGTCGTTATCGTAACAGCTTTTAGAGCCAATGTATTTCCAGTGAAATTCTATAATGATTCTACGCAGTCTTGAGAAACGCGCGGGAGAGGTTGAATGACTATGGGTTCTGAATGTTGATTCTGTATCATAGTACAGAAACAACGATCAGGGCTTTCCCCCTGGCCCTCTCCATACAAATGCGGACTTCCGATTACGTCTGGAAGGTCTTCATCAGAACATATCGATCCACTTTTGCAACTTCACTGGCTCTACTGGAGATTTTTACTCTCGAAGCGAGTTATGTAGCGAGTCAGGCAGTGGGCCACGATATAACTCGACTTCCCACTCGTCCGGGTCGCCTCACATCATAGTGACGTAGGACTACCCGGACGTTCCTAGCCAAAACAAGTAACAGCAAGATGCCCTGTGGATCGACAGTCAGGACGGTAGCGAGTCCGAGAGCAGGGACCACGATGCTGGATGTGAGGCATCACTCGTTCTTGACAGACTGACCAACCGATCGCAATGGTCTCAAGACGCAAAAGAGTACCGTAAGACCTACAAGGATGCGACCGCTTCTGCACAGTATGCGTAGATTGTGCTATGGTAACAAAATCGTCACAATCTCTCAGATCTTATCTTTCTATATACCGGTTCGGCTACATGCGAGTGGCTTGTATGGGCGCCGCTTTTTCTATTATCAGGCTGTCAATAGGTCGGATGTAACCAAATCACACTTCACGTGCATGGCGCATATCTATTGTTACGTGTCACATGCGGAGTCGGATCCAGATCCACGGTTCTTCGCCCTTCGGCCGGTTACAGCGATTTCCACTTCTAGAAAAACCTACATATGCATGCTATCCGTCTCATCTTTTCAGCCTCATCTACTTTTGGCTCAAAGTCTTTTGTCTTCCTCTTTGATTAATCTCCTGGATCACTCATCAAAGACAACATGAGTATCTATACTTCTATGACTACCATTTGCGTTTTCCATCCACTGTATGGCCAAACCGTTACGCTGCCTCGGTTCCGATCTACTATCGCCGACGTGCTGGATTGTCTTCGTCTGCCGCAAGGATCACGAAAGCAACACCATTTGAGCTTTGAGGGTGTATGGCTTGACGAGAGTGTAAGCATTCAAGAGGTGAGTAAGCAATAGACAGGCTGCATTAGTCATTCACTCAAAGGCTAATCACATCCCTTGCGGTCTGCCATGAGACTAGACTGGTCTTGCAAACGGGGACGAGATTGTATTACACGAGCATAATCTTGCTACCTTCCAATGCAACCTCTGCAACGGCCGTCGTAAGTCTGTCTACAAATGCAATGGCTTCAGTAGCTTACTCTGCTTACGTTAGACGGCTTCTGGAAGAGCACGACGGAGTTATAGCGTTTCAAACCAGTTTTGGCTACCTGAACAAACTCTTGTAGTGTTCTGTGGACAAAAAGGCGGATCCTTTAAGTCCTAATTGTTGTGTAATATAGAAAGTCATTCACCAAAGGGAATGTAGGCGAGAAGGTACACATCAGTGTGGCCGGTCAAGATCTACGTGGAGAGTTCCATAGCCATGCCGTGAATGCTTCGTTATCATCGTGCCTTACAGGGTGTGTGCTTCGAAGAATCCGGATGCACACAGACGTGCGCTCGTCGTGGAAATGAGGCATCTTCTTCATCGTCTCCTTCCTCCAATGGCGCAGCGCTCTAGGTATCTGATCTGAGTCACGACGGAGCTCCAGTTTTGCCTCTATCGTGGTGGTTGTGGTACTGCTGGTGCTAGAAGCAGAAACGTGCGCATCATAGTCTTGACACCAAGAGTTGAAAGTCGCGACAATAGTACTACAGCCTCCTTCAGGTAGGCATTGAGCAAAAAGTCGAAGTATTGGACACTAGCTGAACCAGATGAACCGGACTCACACAGAATTTCGGCGACTCGATATTCACACTTGAATTTTTCTTACATCATCCAGATGCGATATTGATAACAACATGAGTTGCCAAAGCAGAGCGCAGACAAGTCATAAGTAATCTCACGGTACAAAAATGACGATGCTCTAGAATCCGTATGGTAGTCTAATGATGATGCCGACGTAAGTCTTGGATGGTGCTCCGCCAGTGGAGTCACCCGCCTTATCTTGAGACGAGCTAGCGATGCTAGGAGGACCCTTGCAGAAGGTGCATTTGTGTGGTATCAAATTGTGTATGATATTCGCTTGGAGCAAGTGCACCTAGCGACTGGTTATTCTTGAGTAATTTTGCGCTTGGTTAGAGCCATCATGACAAGCTATTGGAGCATCCCATGGTACAATAATGTCTCTGAGCGCACTAGTGTCATTGCAAGGACAAATCTCCGACCGAATAACTGTTTGAGTCGTGCGTCGAACCTCGAGTTTGGATCCAGTCTCTACGCGAAGACTTTCTTGAGATTCCAAGCAACGAGGAGTATGCATTTCTAGGTCGTCTTGTGATTTGTCAATTTTGTCGAGGTTGCTATAATGATCATGACGCACAGCTGTACGATCGGTTGAGGAAGCAAGACTGACGCCAAAGAAGCTTCCTATCTTGCCGTGCAACCCACTCTCCTTGATGAGACAAAACATGCAAGGCACGCAAGGTACACCAAGAACGAAAAAGCCACAAGTCATCTCTGCACAGGCCCAGAAAAGGAGGGCGCGATATAGTACATTTTGTCATCCTCGCGAGAGAAGGTGATCGTTGTAGATAGGCGGACAGTGGCTGAGATTGAGGCGCTGCTTGTTATCAGTACTCTGGTCTTCTTCGATAGTATCTTCAGGAATGCACTCACAGCAGGCCGACTCCAAAGGCAATTGATACGCCAAGCTTCCGGCTCCAGTTCATGTGAAGGCTCCAGATGATTTTCTGAGGCAAGAGAATCATGGTCCAGTCCGAAATTACTTGTACGCTCGCCGATACGAGCATGACTGTAGATAGACTGTAACATTTGCTTGGTAGGTAAAACTTCCATATAGCGGCGTGAGGAACACACTGCATATTCAACAAGACGATGCAGGCTATGCCCCAGGTCGCTTGGATCAGAATGATCACCATACTGGCCCACCAGAGGTAGCTTTTGCGGGGATCGCCCACTACGAATATCCTGCACCAATCGGTCAGGATGGCCGTCTTTACCAACGCAAGTGTGGCCGAATAGGCACAACCGTAGACGAGGATAAGATGTAGCGGCGTGACAAGGTCTTTGTTCCGAAGGTCCCATTGATGAACATAGTATCCGGGAGTATGTATCATACTGTACCCAGCATATGCAGTACACAAGTACGCTCCCTAGACATCATGTGCTTAGTAAACTCGATATCTCGTCCAAAAAAGAAGCCACGCTCCACATACATATGCGCACAGCATCAAAAATTCTTCTATATGGACTGCCTTCATTACTCGCAGCTTAGCGTAACTGCGAATAAGAATCAAGCCCGTCGCAAAGACCATGCAGAAGGTCGTTACAAACCAGGCTAGTCCATTATTGTTTGGGGGATCGACAAAGTTTGCTGTGACACCCTCTGGAGTCGCGAGAGCTGGTTCCTCAAGCAAGGCATTGAGCTTGGAAGTAGATAACAACATTGGACGTAATGATCTAAGTAGACAGAGTCCGGGAAGATAGTCGGCGGGACGTACAAAAAGTACTGACCCTGGGAACATCTGGATTTAAGTCTTGTCTCTTTCCTCTCTGAATCCGGAAATTGTGAGATGCTTAGTTGCTCGAACCATATACTCTTCATCCAAGAATCCACGCAGATGGGAGTATTACTTGGTAACGAATGGCGTTGCAGATTGTGAAAAAACCCACTTTGCCCATCACTCGTAAATACAGAGACATTACGCCTAGCGGTCACCTTGCCCTGGCGTATCCTTTCCGGTTTGGTCAAGTGCCGTGCGCATGCGCATGAGCGGACCGAGAGATCCGAGACACCAATCTCGACTATTTTATAAGCACGAGCAAAGTTCGCGTAGTTGATGAGCTGGTCCAACACCATGCATATCTCCGGTTATGAACACCAATCAGGATTACCGTTCACTTTATATATATGTGGAGTCCAGCCGGGATGCACGGACCGTGAGTGCCGCGCCTAATATTCTGGTCCCACGTGTTCACTCGACCCATCGGCTTGTAATGAAACAGCTACGTATCCATAAACCTCGATTTAGGGCGGGATGATAGTACCTGGGTTACATTTGAACTTAACAGGGCGTTCCGTTCGTGTAAGGCAATCATAAAACGACTAGCAGGCTTCTCATATGACATACCGTGAGTGTTAGCGGCACACTATGCATCTGCATTAAGGATCTGGTGGTCATCCTATGTATATCAACTAACGTAAAGAGCGTCGTTGGGAGACCACAGGGCTTGGTGCGATGACTAGCTGTCAAGCATCCAGACGATTGGGTTCTCTGACTAGTGTCCCAACATGTGAGCATATAGCCTTTTTCTGTTCCTGAGTTTCCTATTGGTAGCAGGAGCGCGATAATTAATCAGTCTGGCACACATTCTATTGTCATTTTGTGACTAGTGGCATTCAATTGAATGAGACTTTCCAGAATTACCGTTTCTAATTGCCGCTCGGAGAGTGAGGCATTGCTGCGGTTATATAAAGAACAGGTTACAGCTTCGTAGGTATCGCATCCTTAGCGAAAGTCTTCGCTGTCGTGCAGCGCCAAACAACTTCGCAGGCGGAGTGCTGAACAATCGCTATTAACCACCTCAGAACGAGCTTTAGAAACCAAAATTCGTCATGTCACTACTACCAAGTATGGATCATGGTAACTCATCACACATTCCGCTACATCAGCAGAAGGCACAATAGATTGACACGTGTCTAGTAGAGGAACAAAGTCTTCCAGCACAGGATGCCAAGGCTGATCTAAGAAGTTTGATGGCTGAATATGCTTTGCCCAAAGTCGATTCAGTCAGAACACTTTCTCGATCTATAAGTAGCCAGGAAACTACCACGACAGCTCTTGCGGTGCTTAAGCAATTCAATGCTGCTCTGGAAGCGAATGACGTTGAGGAGCTGGGAGACTGCTTCTTTACAAAGCAAGCTTTCTGGAAGGATCAATTGGCGTTGACCTGGCATCTACGCACATTCATCTCTCCAGCTAAAATCTCGAAAGCCTTGCTGGAGACCTCAAAGCTAAGAAGCATGACTGACGGCTTCATCATGGAAGGTGGAGCGAGATTTGTACAGGCTGGACCGAGTCTAGTGAGTTGGCTATCTGCTATTATATGCTTGAGATTATGGAACAGACTAACACGCCGTGAGTATCATAGCAATTCATCGTTTTCACGTTTGGTTTCAAGACCAACTCACCTGCTGCGACCTGTAGCGGGACCATGTGGCTTTTACCGGTCGAGAGTCATGCATCAGGTAATGACACCTTGATCTCTACATGGAAGATCTGGATTATGAGCACCAAACTAGAAGAGCTCGACCAACATCCCGAAGACGAATCGTTGCTTCGAGCTGCTAGCACTTCCTCGAGTGGTCTGGAAGATATTAAGACAGACGTTTTCATTGTTGGCGGGGGCAATGCGGCCATGGCGCTTGCAGCCCGTCTAAAAGCTCTTGGAGTGCACAGTGTCATGGCTGACCGGAACGCCTCTGTTGGTGACAATTGGGCTTTGCGCTACGACTGCATGAAGTTCCATGTCCCAACGTCGTTCTGTGAGCTGCCTTACCTCGGATACCCTTCCGAACTTCAGGACCGACTTCTCACTAAGACTGACCTCTCGGCACACATCAAACGGTATGCACGAACTTTCGATCTCGACTATATTGGTTCAGTCAAGATCATCCAGACGACATTGAACAAAGGCGGTGAATGGCACATCAAGTTTCAAACTCCCAGCGGCATGTCCACGGCTACCGCCAGACATCTGGTCCAGGCTACAGGTATTGGATCGCAGAAGCCCTACCTTCCGCCCATGACGAACGAGCATGCATATCGGGGCTTGAGTATGCACTCCTCACATTACGAAAATGCGCAGAAGCTGAAGGCACAGGGCATCAAGACAGTATGTATCATTGGCTCAGCAAACACAGCTTTTGATGTGCTCGAGGAATGTCACGCTGCTGGACTCCAACCCACTATGATTTCGAGATCGCCTACATACATCGTACCTCTCGAGTACGTCTGCGACGCTCAGAGCCTCGGTGCCTATGACTATGGTGTCGAAGCGGCTGATAGAATGTTCATGATGCTTCCAACAATAGTGGACGCTCAACTCGGGCGAGGACTGTTTTCACAATTAGCTTCGGAAGAGCCTGACCGCTACTCGGCGCTCCGTGAGCTTGGATTCCCGGTTCTCGATAGTTCCCACCCAGATACTGCTCTCATGCATAACTTGGTTGAGCGCGGAGGCGGTCATTACGTCGATACTGGCGCAACGGCTCTCTTGACGCAGAAAAAGGTCGGTCTTGTGGTTGGCGTAGAGCCCAAGGCGTATACACCCAATGGACTCCAACTATCTGATGGAACGACATTGGAAGCTGGTGCCGTAATCTGGTGCACGGGCTTTGCGGACAAGGATGTCCGCCAAACGGTGGCAGATACACTGAAAATTTCGCTGCCACTTGATCCCACATGGGGTGTCAATGGAGAGGGTGAGATACGAGGGGTGTGGAGGAGGCATACGTATGTTGACAACTATTGGGTAATGGGCGGTTACACTCAGCAGCACCGTTGGTACTCAAGATTGCTGGCTCACCAGATCAAAGCTGAGATTGCTGGCATCCTGCCTCCAGCATATCGCGACATGCACTTGACAGCACATGCCTGTGAGGCTTGAGGAATTTGTTGTTGGGCGTTGAAGGATGTACATAGCAGGCATGGATTGGGATACCAGCTAGAAGTAGTGGTCAGCGCTTCTACTATAGCTGTCATGCTCAATTTGTGGAGGAACTGACTGAACAGACGAGGGGTAGGACAGACTAACTATGTTGTTCCTCAACATGTTCTGGTTGACAGCAAGCCCGGAGTTTGAGTCCTGGCAATCATCTCGATAGATTCTGATGACACCAAATGCACCCCTTTATGGTTGATCCACCAAACATAATCAATGGAGACCTCATGCGAAGATTTATGAGAGGGAAGCCCCGTCAAGCGGTGTTTCAAGATCAAGTCAGAGTGGCATTAGAATCTTTCGACCGGGACTGATCAAACCTACATAGCCTGGCTGTAGTCCACATGACATTGGACAGACTCTTTGCCGGGGTTCATAGAAACTAAGCGACAGTATAACAGACTTGTGTGGAACGTTTATCTAAACACACTTTGTGAAACAGTCACTCTGGTATCTGAGTCGATGACTTGTTTAGTTCTTGACAAAAGGGCAAAACGGCATTCAACACGTAGTTTGAGAGCAATGACCGCCGACACACTGCACGCGGCTTTTAGCGATGGACAGAAATAATATGCTTTAACCCTAGGCTTCTTGATATTCCTTGGTACTGTACAGGACATCTGATCTAGATTTGAGCAGGAAACAAGGTAAGAGGGTGCAGCAAGATCTCCGAATTTGTCTTAAGATAAGCAAATCTCAGGTATGAATGCTCCAATCATAAGCGTAATCTGGTATCACAGAACGTGCTTTTTCACGTCCCCTGTTAGTGTTCTCGAGCGTAAACAATGTACTTTTCAACCGAGAATGTTATGATAGGTCGATCCTAGCCATATGAATCGTTCGTCGCTGTTCATCCGCTCGTCCTCGTCGTTGGCATTGCTTGAGTCGACCGTGTGTGTCCGGCGACACGTCACTATGTCCGTAGTGCGTGGATGTCTTGGTCAATCGTCACCAACCGGCTAGCTGGTGACCTGCCCTGAATCTAGGTGGCTGTTGATACTGTCTCGCTGTAGAATTCTCATCTAGGCGGCAGTGCGGAACTGCAGATATTCTCTTCGAACCAGTGCCTATACTGCGCCTCAGCCCAATCCATCAACAGCAAAAGTACCGAGATGGTGGTATAGACACCACGATGAGTTGCAACATCGCCGATATCAAGCTTGCTCNNCAGATTTTCTGGATTGATATCTGTCAGCTTTTTACTGTGCAAATTTATATAGAAGGAGCGCCAAGAACTCACCACTTCTCCAGCAAGTGTCTTTTCGGCAAGTATGAATTTCCAGTCAGAACCTTGAGCGACAAGACAAGGTAACATCGGCGGACGGACGTGTGACCGGCCAGCAGCAGTCAAGAGTTCGGTGAGACGGGCAAAATGGGCAGAAGTCCAAACACCGAGTTGGTCAAGAGCGTCTTGAAAGTGCTCGCCTTGACGTTTGGTCTCAATACTGACGGCAATGGGCCGGCGAAGCAGAGGCGAATGGGTGGTATGGTTGAAGGAAAATACTCCTTTGTCTGCGTTGATCGGCAAGCGGGTAGCGGCTGCTCTCAGTGCATCACTGTCTTCCAAGATGAGAGCAAAATCCACCATCTTCCCTTTGATCTGCACATTGTCTTGTGTCCGAGGGATCAGGCTTGAGGGTCCGATGCGGGCGGTTGTTCTACAGGGCCGTCAGCTCGGATCGGAAGGTTCATCGAATCGGAAGGGATGGCTACATGTTCGTGCTGGTCGTACGCCCCTGGTGAACTGAAGCGGCTTCGGCAAGTAGAAAAAGCGGGGTATCGATGTAGCCATTCCAGGCGGCTTCGGACTCGCCCAATTCGCGGAACTGCCTCACTCGCTTGACCAGCTTGTCAACATCTGCTAGGGAAGGGACGCCACCCAAGGTCGCACGGTAGTGGGTGTTGTCAAAGAACACGTAGGGAAGATCGATGTCGGGATCGACAATGCCCTCGCGCTCGAAGAGGTCCTGAAAAGGGTGTTAGTCAATCGACTCGTCTGATTCTTTTCGAATCTTATCACCTTCTCAGCGGCAGGGAAGACGCCCTGGGAGCGTTCGAATTGTCGCAAGCGGTCATAGAGTTGTCTAACACCGGCAGCTGCATTGGGAGGGACAGTGTCCTTGACGAGGACGGGAAAAGTGATGGGCTGGATGAGACTACTTAAGACAGCGCGCTTGCTAGGAGAGCTACGGTGGGACCAGTGACTCCGCTTGGTGGCGCCGCTGTCACTTGTCGTGGTTGTGGACGCTGACGAGAGCGGAGAGCCAGCAGTTGACAAGATGTTGAGGCTCGTCAGTCGAGGGGCGCGTGGTGTCTGTTCTGTATTCGCTTCGTCCACGACTTCCGTATCTACCATAAGGGCTGTACTAGTCGCCTTCCTGGCCACAGTCGCTGGCGGTTGGGTGTGATGCAACTCCTGCTCCTGCTCTTTCTCTTGGATATCTTCTCGCTGGCGCGTCTGTTCTTGCTCTTCCTGGCTGTCGAGGTCAGGCGTCGGATACTTGTGTCTGGGTCGCTTAGCCTCGGGCGCAATGCTGTCGTCGTCGTTGTAGCGTTTCGGTTTCGCTCTGGATTGCTGTTGCTGAATGACCTCGTCCATCCAGGAATCAATCCCTTCAATCTTCATGTCATAGTCGTCGACCGCCACGAGATTCGGGGAGTACAAGTCTTGTTGTGTTACAGGTTCGTTTGAATGTTCATTGCTCTTTCTGTTCTGCTTTCTGTTTTGAGCGTCGGCGCCTTCCCCGCACTCTGACATGCGTCACGGATATAGCCGGATATAAGTTTGTCTCCAATGTCACCTTGTCTAGATATTATCATATCATCCTCCAGAGCTGCTCTGGAAACGAGCATAGGAGCAAAACGTGACTTCTTTTCGCTGGAGACCATTTCATGAACAGATCAGGAACCCAAAATATACAAAGGATGATATTGTATTCCCATAAATCTTTTCCTATTCAGATTTATTTAAGTAAAATTGACAGAGTATTCATTGCACCCAGGCTGGGCGCATATCGTACAGAGGTTAGCAATCTACAATGTAGAGCAGTCCCTGATCTGTCCCGCGATTCTTAAGGTGTTGACAGTTCCATACATTACATCCGTTGCGCGATATGTGCTCTCATGGCCTTTCTTGTAGCAAGATCGATGCTTGCTCATTCCTCTTGTTACATTCAGAATTTCATCTGATCAGGTCCGCTTTGCTGTCATCGCAGCCTGTAGCACAGTTTGCCAAGTGCGCGACTTGCCGACTTCTACAAAGTCTCCTTCGACACGAGACTTCGATCTCCCATATCACTTTTTTGGCGCGTCACTTGCACTTGCCTTCTACGCGAACAGTCGATCATTCCTTCGGCTACCATCTCCATATCACACGGACCTGACAACCTGCTAGTCTAGTAGTCTCTACACAGACTTACCCATCATGGTCGAGCCACCGGCCTTCCCTCTCACTATCACCTTCCCGAATTGTCTGGCATCCTCCAAGCCATTCGGGATCACATGACCGAGGTCCAGCATAGCGAAGCCAGGATGTCAGCACGTCTCGATGCTACCGAAGCACAGCTGGCTAGCTAAAGAACCAACCAAACGCCGGCTTATCTTCACAAGGATGATGGTCTTTAGGAGAATAACGACTTCATCCCATCAAGACTTCAAGATGAGGACGGGTGATTCTCGCCACGAAAGCAAGCTCGAAGACGAAGGCGATCTCGGCCACGAGGACGATTCTGTGATGTCTCAGACTTCTTCTCTTGGCGTCGGTCAAGGACTCATCCTAATGGATCATCTGCTCCAATCCTCCGCTGCCGGCAGAAAGCGCAAACGAACAGCAGGTTCTCGTGTTGATGAGCTAACCTACATCCTTCATTTAGGTCTTGTAGACTGAGACTCTGACGCTTAGTCAGCTGGAAAGGAGTCAGAAGATGCTAGCGGACCTCCTATTCCGGAGTCGTCTTCTTGATGACGACAGATGCCAGCTCTCGCCAGGCGCCCTTGAGGGGATGCCGTCTGTCCCTTCACAATCAAAGCAGCTAGCGTTATCACAAACATCTCTGTCCATTGAATGAAGATGAGTTTGACAACAAGCGATCAGCGGCGGCGAACATAGGCATCATTGACCATCAACATTTTAACAACATCAACAGCTGAACCCCAAATTCACCTAAGTCATGGCCCGTCAACCAACGACACAACTGATATCGACAACCATCTGGTTTTTTCCAGAGATCCTTATGTCGGGTAACGATCGAAAACCTACAATACGACTCAAACGCATCGTTTGAGCAGACACCTAGCAGGTAAGCACTCCTGATTCTGATGCAGCCTCCGTCTTGCAGCAGTGTCTTATCAACTGTGATGCATAATACTGAGACACGACCCGGAGACTCTTCTAGTAGGGTCTAACACATGTTCTCCACATTAGTTGTTGACGGCAGCCAGGACGATGCTAGTGCAGTGAGGTACCATCGTGTTGATGGCCATGAAGTAACGAAGAGGATAAGGCTAGTGGGAAGGCTGGATGGCAATTTTGTAGCCGATCATAGAGACTTAGATGCACAAGAGCTCTTTGACCATTTAGGTCTGGGCATTAACTATCTGTTACGAGATCAGTCATCAACTGAGTTGACTTACTATCATGACATTCCACATATTTGGAGTCATATCATACGACATGACCAGCCTTGGAGATGTGGTTGATGGGGACTTTGTGAATTCGTCGCTTGCTTATTCAGCGCTTCTGCTTCCAGAATATCATCGTTTCCTTGTCTTGTTCTGCCTCGCTTGCTGACTTTTTGGCTGTTTTGGCTTAGCTAACACATTCGGTACTGGTCTCGCTCGGAACAAAACAAATAGGCAAGGAAAAACAACAAATTTGCTCTCTGCTTTATCAGCGATCGCTTCCTTGAGGCTTCCACTACCAGCTTGATCCCTTCTAGAATGGTCCTCTTCCTCTTGTAGACCAGACTCATCGACACCTTCTATGCTATCTCTTCTGCCCTTCCGACAGGTTTCGTAACCATGGTACAAAGCTCGAATGTCATCTTCGAGGTCTCTGGTCTCTTAGTCCTTCCACTACTCACCACATTGGATGACGGCGACCTTGAACCCAACGCTGCCTTCAAAACTGACTGGATGGTCCAGGCACGTCGCCGGTGCAGATCTTGGCCCAGTAGTGGTCAAGCTCCAGGGCAATTTTCATGCGGCTCTCCTCGGGACTGTCAGCCTGGAATCGAGGCAGGAAAACGATGCTGGGTCTGGACCAGCCGACCACCTCATATCTCTGACGCATATGGCCGTGGTACTCTCGAAAATCTTCGCCGTAGGGGGGAATTGTAGAGCTGCGGTCCGTTGGCTTGGTTTTCCTCAATCTCTTCCAAACCGCACACCAGCCAGCGATACGAGGCCCACAGCACGCGCTCGCCGTCCGTGCCAACTGGAAAATTGTGGCCTGTATCGTAGTCTTCGATGACGGTTGCTCTGTTGCGGGTGCTGGCGTGCCAGATAGGCTGATCAGGGTACTGGGGTCGCGGGTGATGTGGCTGTTGGCGAAAAGCGCCTCTGAGGGCTTGAGAACCTCGCGTCGATGGGTGTATCTGACAGCATCCCTCTCCAGACGCTTTCGGTCGAAGGGAGCCATGGCTGGATACCTTAGTCAGCTCGATATGTGTGGGGAGCGTTTGCTGGTCATCATCTTACTGGATGTCTCAGTTTACTCGACCGCGTTTCTGAGTAAGTGGTGGCCAAGATCCGCAACGTGCTTGTGACTCAGGTTGTTGGAGTGTTCGCGCTTCTAAGTTTGAAGGCTCAAATGAGTATCCTGTCCTAAGGGTGGTCAGTCGAATCAGGTCAGTTCTAAGAGCAAAGAGCCACATACTCTGGTATGACCGGTTCGATGGTCATGGAGTTGCTTGTGATCACAGTTGAGTGCGGTTCAGTGCATCCCTGCGCGGAGACTGCTCAGAATGAGGACTGTCACGCGGTGCAGGTTGGAGGCGTCGCGACAGCAAGATCGAATGCTGCGGGCGGTGATCGTCAGTGATCTGCAAAGCGCACACCGAAGATTGTGGAAGGAGAGGATTGTTGTGCCAAATGAAATGGAAGCGAAAGGAACAGGTTAGATGCGAGAGTTGGAGGAGAAAATCGAGGTGAAAGGCAGAGGAGGGAAGAGAAAGTGAACCTTAGACCGAAGGCTGTCAACCGACTGAATCTGGATGTAGTGAAGAAAGATCGCTCAGGCTAGGGAGGGTTTTTTACAGTACCAAAACCTTGCATACGAATGAGACGACTGCCTCAAGTCGAGTGATGTCTCCTATCTCTCGTGTGAAGCAGCGATGATATGTGAGCAAGCTGTCGATCAAGGCGGTTGCTTAGACACAAGCACAGTCTCACTCGATTTCCGAGGGCTCGACGTTGATGTTTTGTACTCGAAGCCAGACAGTATCGTTCTTTGTCTGAGTGGGGCACAACAACAAACCTGTTCGAGAGGCACACGCCTCTGTCAACTCGATCGACCTCCTCTCCGTCGTTTCTCCACCTATATTGCCCTTCAGCTAAGCGACACTATGCCAGCTCAACATGGCTCCAAACCCTCGATCTATACTTCCCCTTTTGCTCTGACTTTTCGTTACCTAGCTTCGCGCATTCATGCCATGCCCTAGCTAGCTCCCACAATCGCTGATGCTCCGGTTCGTTCGTTCTACATGTGCTCGGCCGTCTATGTCCTTGACGAGTATGCTAATAAACTTTTTTAGCTCTTATTCCACAATGGCTACTAGCTCAAGATATGCTCGCACTCCTCGAAACCACAGTGCTTGTCGACTCTATCTGTGACAACGACTCCGATTTTGCCTCTAATGACGGCTTTAGCTTTTCCTCGTCAGATGGCATTACGAAGCACCTCAAACGCCAGATCGCGAATTTGTGACGCAGCCATGGCATTTTCGATCCACACCAGGTTGATGCCCCTTTGGTTGAGATCTTCGCCGGTCTTCAGGGCCTCCTCTCCACAGGCACTTCTGCTTCCGAGTCATTCCTAAAGCCACTGAGAGGTCTGTCGTTATCGCCAATAACTTCTCGTATGTTACCCGCCGAAAGGAAAAGGATATCATGCACGAGCAAAGCAGGCTGTGGGCTCTGACATAGCCATGCTCGACCGCGTCAAAAGAAAGCACGGGAAAAAGCAGATTTGCGCACTTCATATGGAGAGAGGGTGGAGGCAGAAAATTCCTCCAACCGACATGAATGTATCTATGGCACTGTTGACTCCAACCCAGCGACAACGATTAGAGCCTCGCCGCAGTTGTATATAACGATATTGGCGCACAGAGTTGGGAGACTGTTCGTCGGACGTCGGTGAATCGTCGACTATGTTACTCGTGATCTCTTGCTTCTACTAAAGGTCTTGGTGTCCTCTTCCTGGTCAGAGAAATCCTTACCCACGGGTCGATGACTTACTTCGGAATCTGATCAATGGCTGCTGACTACGTCGCCCACCGTCTCCTTGGTTGATCTATCAAGATCATCACTTTTTGATCGGTCTAATCAACGGGTCCGACAGCTTGTGCGTCGATTTCTACTTATGATAGCGAGGAGCTAGGTTTCATGCGTCTCAGGTCCGGTTTGCCTGTGCTCTATAGGTTCAAAACGAAATGAGACAGCCCTAGCCAATGTGATTATGAGTTTGACAAGTCCAGCTTTGCCACAGAGGATACGCCAGACTCAGTGCTAAAAGTGGATGGAGTCCAGCGGATTTCGGTCAATTCCTACTCCATTTGGAATGACCCTTATTCCAACTTCATTCATTCCATGGACTCACGCTAATCTTATATGATTCCACAGATCCATGAAATAGTCGGAATTCTATGGATATCTATGGTCCAAATGGAATTCCACAATTCGGCTCAGATTGTCTTGCGAGTCTGGCTCTGAGGTAGCTAGGCTTCATCATTGTAATCAAAAACCTCCAACACAAGATAACGTTTTGATTCTTAGCTTAAAATTCTCAGACTGATGCCTGGCATAGATATACTGCTGTTCTCCAAGCTATGAAGTAACAAAACACTATGATTCAAGGCAGCGAAGGTCAACTTGGATTAGGGTGCACCTAGCCAGGGTTGCAAGGTCAACAAACAACCTCAGGGGCTTTGACCACCTAATCAAAACTCTCTCGAAGAGTTTTGAGTGCCAAGAGTGGCCACCATACCTAATTAGGTCTGTCTTGGCAGTTCGACGGTATCTAAATAGAGTTCCATGTGGATTGGAAACTCCATGGAAGCAAAGGCTATTCCAACTCCAGCTCAATTCCATGTGGAAAGCATAGGAATTTTGAATGGAATTTCATCCACTATCAGTACTGCGCTAGACCGGTCAGATGTAAGACCTATCTGGATGGATCATGAAACACCGAGGTTTGACGAGACGCGTGTCTTTGTGGCTCGAAGTGATAATCAGGTATACCAAGATACAATCGCCTGGCTCTCCACTAAATGCAACCTGCCGTACGAGCCGGGTCTGTATAGAGCGACCCTTCGAGCTCTCGCTATGGGAGAAGCTATAGACGTGTTGGCGTTTAGATATGATCAAGACTGCAACTTTTGTTGAGGTTTGTGCAAGTGGAGGTGGGGTGGTGAGATAGATTGATGAAGAAAAGAGGGGTTGCTGCAAATTGGCAGGTGGCAGGAAGAAGAACCACTAGTTGAGTGTCGGAGATACGGATGCAAGCAGCTGGCTGTTGTTTTTGAGCATTCGCCTCGGTTTGCGAAGCGAAAGAACAAACAACGCATCCCAACCTGATGATCAACCGCTCTGACAATGACTTGCAACGCTATAGCATGCTATAAAGATCTACGAACCAGAGAGGTACGGGCGTATGTCGAATACCGAGGCCAAACGCGAGATTACAAACAATCCCTATCAGGACTTCCAAGAAGTGAGAAAACATAGGCGTGCCCAAATAGCCATCTCGATCGGCTGCTCGTAAGTGAAGCGGTGGAAGGAGTGACCAACGCCGCGTCAACATGGCCTCCCTGATGATTGTCGATATCGCAACTGCTACACGTGAGCATTGCACCAGCTTGCCACTGCACGTGTGGGTCTATTCCAGTCGTATCACGACGGGCGGTCTGACCGCCACAGTGATGCGCCTGCACATGCTGCCGCAGCTGCATATGACGTGGGCCCGAGCAGCTTCCCCAGCTTCCCCACCTTCCCTAAGGGCACCACGCCAACTTTCCATTTTGCTGCGCAGTGCTCCTTCCCTGAACATGCTCATGTCACAAAGCTGCCGCCAGAAGTTATTGTCATGATCGAGCGTCAACTACTCCGACAGCGCCTCCAGATGTCCTTACCCCATGGATTCCTGCGCTGGTCATCCAGATACTGTTGCTTCGAAAGTTCCTGTCGGTCATGGATCACGTCGATGAACTCGATGAAAGCGAACGACAGAGTCTACTTGACCGTGCTGTCGCTAAAGTCCGCGCCCGGAACCCTCACCTCAACAAACTTGTCGACACTACAAACCGAGAAGGATTCGAAGCCTTGGTCGATGAAGCTTTCTCTGAGATCTGTGACCGAGAGCACCTCGGTTTGTCTACACGTAAATGGTTCGGCATTCAAGGCTGAAATGCCGCGATGAAAGACGACACAAATGGAGAGCTGCCACACTATCGGAAGGTGAGCAATCCTTCGCACATGACATGCTTGCATCCGATTCTATCTATCAGTTGCTCCACCGACACTTCGGCCTAGAATTATTCGTCATGCATGAGAACATGGACATTGAGACTGGTAGATACCTGCAGAGAAGAGACAGCCGCGTTCCAAAGTCTCGCTTGCCTAACCAAGTCACCATTTGTTATCTCACTTTTCCTTCGACGCGCGCCGTCACACACACCATGATCGACTACGGCTGCGGTGATTCTGGCTATGCCGCAGGTACCTTGGGAAAGTCCATGGTCGTCCAGCCTGAACCACTACAGTTAACAGGATCGCGCACCAGGCGTTTTGCCAAGTGTATGAGGGCACTGAGTCTGGAACCCTTCGTCCATCCCTCACAACTGCGCAACAGCCTGGGTCCATCCTCAGCTCAGGAACCTCCACAAGTCGTGTTTAGTCCCCACCAATTCCAAGCAAGAAGAGCCCCGGAATAGATCGATGAGGATGATGCAAAGATCGAGTCATCCATGAAAGGTATATTGTATTTCGAAGTTTCTACTGCACTGGAATCTGGCTAACAACTGTTACCTAGATTTGGAGCTTGGTCATTGACCCAAACTGGTCATCCTGACTAAGGAGCGATTCGATATCAACGGCATACCAGTGTCAGGATCCAAGTGCTCGACTCGGATCTCTTCGCTGCAAAGAAGAATACTTGATAAACATGCCCCAGCAGACCTATTACCAGATACATGCCATCCTTCCAACATGCCTCTACAGTATGTCTCACTGAGGACTACTATACGGTAGCCTAGTCACTCTGACGCTGCCCAGCGTATTCTCATCATGCTTTGTGCTCCCACTAAGTCTGTTCGTTCTCAACTCAGATAGTCAAGGCCTGCTCGCATCCAGTAGGAATCATTGGCAGTTTCTATTCTTGTTTTCACTTCACTGGTCTGACTTACAACTGTGGCTGCTTGCTTTCTCAATTCAGTATATCTGTTCCACTGTCTGTGTTCCAAGTTTTATGTGCACAATATCACAGCCTTTATTTAAACGAACATTTCCAACAATGGCAGACGCAACTCGAGAATATGGCATCTTACCAAAACAAATTCCATGCACAAACTCTACAAGATGTACTCCTTACCTAGTGAAGAAAATACGGATCTAAAAGGTTACAAGACGTGTTGGTCCGGTCTAGTAAGATGGAGGTTTTCCATATTGATTTTCTTTTCTTTTGCACATTGTGCAGCTGTTAAGTTGCTCAGCGTATCTCCATCTACAGTATACCTGGTATGATTACGTAAGCGTAAGAGCAGGGTTACCACTTAAGCCAGAGTTTACAGCCCTACGCATTGTGTCTTGATAGCATAAACATTGCCATACTAAGTAGTGAAATGGTGAAAAATTGCATCCGATTCAACATCTCTATTCCCTCCCAACCAGGTAGAATATTCTACTCTAATCCAGCGCAACATCTTCATACTTTACTCATTCCATGTCATTTCGCATCTGCTCTGGGTAATCGTAACACTTTCTGGTTGCCAGGGTGGATCTGAGCTTGTTATGCAGTAGTGGCCTTCAGTCGACACCTTTCCATCGTCATGACACGCTATAGCCATTCGATGTTAGAAGCGACTACGACAATGTTGAAAGGCAACTCTTGTCGCAAAGCTTGGGACAGAGAAGAATTGCTGGAACCGATCATCTACGGGTCCACGACTTCTGTATCACCGGAGAAGCATCAATCATGGTTCACCGTTTTGCATCAGGAGACGAACACCTGTCTCAAGCAGGACATACGCCTGACGCATAACCTAGGGAACGGGTACAGCTACCTAAACATGACAGTACGGATGGAAAACTACCTCTGTGACAGGGCAACTGAGATCTGGCGACAGACATGATCAACAAGTTCTGTCCTAGCAAACATAGGCATTCCACAAGTATCCCCACTATCCCCTATCTCATGATCATTCTACAGCCCCGACATCATCGAAGGACCTCATGACCCAGTCACAAGATACATCGACGACGCAAGTATAATAGTCACAGGCAGTGCAAGCAAGCAACACAGAAGCACTAAGGAGATCGAAAAAAGCAATGGAACGAGTTCGGAAGATATGATCGGTCTTTGCGCCATAAAAGTACGAAATGATGATTTTTGCAAAAGGCAAGAAAGACACATGACCTGAGTCTTCCCTGGTGCTGCCAACAGCAACTATTCAGCCAGATGAGACAACGAAATCGCTTCGAGTCATCCTGGACAAAGAAGCTATCAGGGATGTCGTATGTGCAAATCCATTCTGGACTGGTAATCAGACACACGAGGCTATGTAGCTAGCTTCGTTGTCCGGATCCTACATTGGCGTGTCCTGGCTGATGGCTATGTAGCCTTGCGAAGCAATGTTTCCATTGTCGCTCTCATCCAGGATACTCATACAAGCATAACCCTGATTTGTGTAGGTCTCCTGTTCGCCCACCATAGTCTCAAGGTTGTCCGGGAACGCGCCATCGTATCCGAACGCGCTCTCATCTCTAATGTTGTCGTTTTGGAAGATGTAATCGACATACAACTCGCTGCCGTCACTATCTGCACTGCCAGATTCTTGTTCATCTTGCCGACGAACGCGATCCGACCTGCGTAGGCTGCTGCTTAACTTGTGAACAAGCGCCCCAGTCGAGGCATCAATGTGGTTCGAGTAGTGAGCCTAAAAGCATCCCTATGTGTTGCAGGTGTGATGGGCGACAAGAATCGGGGTTCTAGTGAAGTTGGCTCTCCACTGATCCAGCGGAGAAGCGACTCCAGCGATGCTAGGAAAGTATGTGACCATTTCGATGCCATTACGTGAAAAAGTCATTGCGCCGGTCTGGTTGAGGCCTCTGGTAGTCAGGCCGCGATAGAGGGTGGATAGTGCAGCGGCAAAGGTTCCGACAGCCGCGACAACGCATGCGGTAAGCTGCAGAGCGGGATAGACAGCCGTAGCTGGTGTACATGCGGCGTATGTGATTCCTCCCAGTATAGTCAGAGCTGTGGTTACCAACCCTAGATCTGCCCTCTTGATGAGGTCGGTCTGGTCAAAGTGTTCTGCGACTGCTCCAGAAGGGCGAATTGAGAGAGATCGTTCGTTGACTGGGACGCCCTGGACGATAGACGCACTCAGCGCAACTGCGCATCCAATTAGTAGCCCTCTTCTGGACATAATCATGGTAGAAATAAGATGAGCACAGAGCACGAGACAGTCAAAAACCAATGCAGCATGTACAAAGCCGCGATCATGCAAGTATCATCTGTGCCTAAAGCAGTTTTATACCATCGCCATGAGGCACAGACAGCCCGACCCTAAAGCGGAAGTTTGATAGGCCCTCAAATGCCGTGCGGCTACCACGGAACGAGATCGAGTATGATTGGTCTGTGATGTCATCGCGCCAAGCGAAGGATTCGACCCCTAATGTGTTCCTCCAAGCTTATCTACTCTTAAAGCCATCGATCTTAGCTGCTCTTGTCACGAGCTTAGCATGTACTTGTTCCACATCTGTTTAAGGTTCCGCTGTCTAATCCACTAGATGTACATAGCGTCCACCACTAAGAAGGAAGAGCTAGATTTAACGTCTTTATTCACCCGTCGTAGGTATAGGGAATCCTTCTATATGCCATTAGATTAGGGCTATCGATATACCCTATTATGCATACGGCATAGCTTAAACGAACATTATTGTAAGTTCAAACTATAGATGATAATCTTCAACATAGTCTAATAACGATAGTGTTAATCTATATCGTTACCGGATAAAAGATCGCCACTCCCACTAAAGTCGTCGGAAAGTCGGCTCTAAGTGATTTAGATCCCCTTGTCTGCAAAAGTTCACAGGGATTGAAGGTTCGTTCGTGCACCCCACCCCACTTACTAATTGATAAGCCCCACTACATGGTCTTCGGCGATCATGAGCGCCAAGTTTAGCAACCTACAGCCTACCCATAACATCACTCGTTGATGACCAGCATTCTGACGACCTATTCCTCTAGCCATCGAAGCTCATCTCTATTATGACCGACGAAATGAGCAAATTTCCAGAGCATCCGCCAAACCGCTCCTTCCAGAGATGGCACCAGCGCGCGCGTCTATTATCCGTGGTTCTCATTGGAATTTACACATTTATTCTGGTAAAGATGACCGATCAGACTTCAGCGCAGCATCCGCGACTTTTCCTTGCCAGGTTGTCTCTATGCATCTGCCTACTTTTGACGCATGTGCTCGAAGGGCTAATGACAGAATGAGCAGCCGGCACTTTCGGTAAGTGAGTGAGCCGTATTCGCGCTGAGATGTGAAGCTTACTTTCACAGTAGAGTTCATTGCTCATGGATCTGAGCTTGAGTCACAGGGTTTGGGTCGATTTGCCAAACAGGGCATGTTTTGTAGCACTCTTCACATTATCGTGTCCTATAAAACAAAGCTCTGGTTGATTGATGTAAAAACTTGCAGTGCAGCGAACATATGTTTCTGGTTGTATATACTCGAGGCGATGTTCAGATGACGACTGAGGTCACCAACGATACCATACTTCTACAGATTCTGTAGTCTCACAGTGGAGACATTGGTATCTCCTTGATGACATCGATTCCCATTGGGACGCTTGTCTGTTCAAGCGTGGCCTCGCGTATCATTCCTGACAAACAAAAATATGACATAGGGTTTCCTTGGAACTCGTCGGACGATCCTGAGCCGCCCCTCGCTTTTTGCCTTCGATCCCACTATCTGGTTATAGATATCTTATGGTGATCGCGTGAAGTAGCAAGATCTCTAGTTCAGTACGAAGTAAGCTTCCCACTGATATCTTCCGGTTGACCGACGGCAGGATGAATGCCTTCATAAACGTTTGGTGTTATTGGTTCTACTCCTCCAACGTCTGTCTTCGAAGCTCCCGCGGCACCCAGCGCAACGTTCGACGGTTGTTATGCTTAGGCGAGCTGTTTATCGAAATCCTTCGATCGTCCAAGACCAGCAAGCCTCGGGAATAATATCCGACTGATACGGCCGTAGCTCTTTCACTAATGTACGTACGTAAGATGCCTTCCGGTAGGATCCTCACCTTTCTGCGAAACCATATCTACCGATAGTTGTTCCTATTTGACACATCCAGGTTCTCTCATCACTCACGTCTTATAATCTTCTACGCATATCAAATCTTTTCATATCGCCATGATGGCTGCTTTATATCCACGTAGGATGCTGCTGTCCCTTTATGCAGTGACAGCTATAGTGATGGTGGTTGGTGGCTTCCCAACTCACGAACAATCTCTCTCAATTCGCCCTTCTGGAGCAGTCGCAGAACACTTTGACCAGACCGACCTCATCAAGAGGGCAGATCTAGGGTTGGTAACCACAGCTCTAGCCACTCTGGGTGGTGTGACATATGCTCTTTGCCAGACGACAATCGTTGCTCATCCAGTTGTCGCTGCGACTGCATGCGTTGTCGCGGCTGTCGGAAC